GGAATGAAAGTTTTGCAGCTTTGAGGTCAGATCTGGTGCCTTCAGAGTGGCCGTCTTCTAATTTGGTCTCCCAACACTTCGACCCGAGCCAGTGAAGGGTCATGCACATATATTCATGTCTGTTTGCTCTGGCACGTGTGTCTGCATTAAAATCCCGGAGGTGAATTAGGATAGATCAGGGTGCTAAATACTGGAAACCAGAGCAGTTTCCAACCCCATCATGTATTGGGAAATGTATCTCCTTACTGTCTGCGTTTGTCTTTGCTTTCTGGAAAACTAACACTAGGGCAGGGTTGAGCTGAGGTTACACTCTGTGGTTGTGCACTTAGAGCCAGCTGGATGAACTTGGACAGGCTAATGTCCCAGATTAAACTCTATCCCCATCTCTTTGTGGGATTATTTTAAAGATTTTGCCCTCAAACTCAATTAAACTAATTTTTAGTATTTTCGACTTTGCTAAAATATATCAGCAGTTTATTTGGGGTGATTCTAACGAAGCTCTTAATTCAAGCATTTGTGCATGGCCGGTTACTTACTGTGTAAATACGGTTTCAATGACCGTAGTTAATACAAATGTTTAGCTTGATCTGAAAGAAAATTGGATAGTTCCAAACAGCGGCCCTCAAATTTCCTCTAACCTTTGTGAATGTCCTTCTACTGATGCAACAGGGGTTTTCCTGCGTTCAAATTTGCGTGGCGGTCGTCTCCAGCTATTTTTGTGCCGCTGTCGGTACAGGATCTGCTCGGGTGCAAGATCGGCTCGGGGTCCGTCGACTGCCGATGACGTCAAAGTAGTTGATTGGCTGAACATGAACCTTACGGAATTACGTAATCACGTTACGTTGTTATCATGTTACGTTGGTCCAGGCAAATCTTTCTATTGGAAAGATGGACAACTTTTACAAAGAAATCCATCATTACCTCTTTGAAAATACACTTGTAGCATAGAGCTGCATGTATATTAGGGCTGAACGATTAACTGCATGTGCAATTAAATTGCGATGTGACAAAAGGAGATTTTCTAATCTCAAAGGCTTCAATTTGGCAGCGAGTGGTTAGCGCAATGCTAATATACATGGAAAAACCCATAGGAATGCCAATGCTAAATCTCCGATTACATTATTACAAATTATGATTTAGAAACGTGCCAAATGATTACATTTGGAGTCTTATAGAAAGTAAAAATACCATCAATCAAATAAGTACAGACAGGTTTTTTAGTAAAGCCAGAAAACTTTTAACTCCAGAGTTTTGGCTAGCAGCTACAGTCTATGACAAGACGTCAAAAACTCTAAACACAAAATACTTAAATAAACGGGACACACTTCTTTCCTGCAAATACAATTTCACAGGTGTTGCTAATACCTATGATTCTTCAAGGGATGTGCTCAAAGAGGAGTTCAACATTATGAATAAGATATAGTGTTTTATTTTACAAATACCATTATAAACACAAACTTACGTCTTAAGAAACGTTATTTTAATAACGAAACTGCTAAATTCTTTCCAACAGTATAGACGTGTAGTGTATTTTGTCCGAGTCGGTTTGCCGTACTTTGACGTCATCGGCAGTCGAAGGACCCCGAGCCGATCTTGCACCCGAGCAGATCTTGTACCGACACCGCCCCAGCCTGATTTCACTCTGCCCCCGGCTGTATGGATGTTATTTTAACTGCAGATGCAGCGTTGCACCACTATAGGGGCGCTGTGTCAGCAGCGGTGCACCGAAAAGCGCTAAAACCGTTGCAGAAAAAAAAAAAGATCAAAAATTGCTTTTCTCGTTAGTTGGTACATATCTATGGTCGATGCTATTCTAGGCTGACCATACGTCCTCTTTCCCCCGGACATGTCCACTTTTCACTCTGTCCAGGTCGTCCGGGGAAGGGGGAGGTCCTACACTGATCAAAATGTCCGGTTTTTCATCCAGGAGCAGTGATCGAGTTGTGAGGAGCTAGACATCTTTCAGGCAAAGATCCAGTTTCTACCTATATTACAATATTTATGGAGTCAGCGTAGCGGGATTCTGTGGAGCGGAGAGGACGCAGAGCGCTGATCGTTGGTGCCCCCGCTGCATCTGGTGCACGATTCATTCTCAAGGTGGCGCAACAAAACATTATTATTAACACATGATCGTTCGTTCATATCCGTTTAAATCCTCTGGTACTCTGTATTTTACTCGTTCCTGACGCGCTCGCTCATCGTGTGCTGCTGTGATTTCACCTCACTGACGCAGCATCGAAACGCGCACCACGCTTTGCAGTCAGGAGATCCCTTTGATCTGCGTAGTTCAAAAGTTACTGATGAGGTGAAAAAGTAAGAATCCAGGCAGCAGTTTTTCTGGAGAGTTTAGAGGAGATGCAGGAAGATGAGAGACAGACAGGAACATAGTTAGATAAAAACAAGAAAACAAAGCTTGAAAGTAAAATAGGTAGCTTTATCTCCACTACGCGTTTTTACCTGTATAAAACAATAAGTTATACAAATGTAATATTTATACATCTGATACAATTCAGATCACCTTCAAAACTCAGTCACACACCCAGGGCCGTTTCAAGGCATTTTGGGGGCCAAGGCGAAACAGAACACCCCCCTAACCCGTACATAATAGCCATGGCACCATTACATTGTTAGCAGCAGAAATTAAATGTTATTACCATTTCCAATACAAATGCATGTTAATGAAATGCATTATATTTTACTGGATATATTTATGTGTTATTTTGACTAAGATGGGTGTTATAAATGTTACTGAAATGTTGGTCAAGTATTTAAAAATATTTTAACTATAAATATCAGATGGGAAAAAGGGAACTAAACACCAATCTAATGCATATTAATGAGCCTTTTATAATATGTTGCCTTTAAAAAGTGAGGAAGTTGAATGCACAGAGTATGCATGTGCTGGCGCATGGTCAGGATGGTACCTCTGCCTCCATTCGAGTCAGGAAAACCCCTGTACAATAATATATCATTAGCCTTTTATTTTCTGTTAGGTAAAGCCTGTTTTGGCCCAATGCTACATTTAGTGTGAGACTGCCTCTGAAATACCAGCAGCTTATTGGGCAAATCCTGTGGTTCAAAAAGCAAAGGCAGGAGGGGGACAGACCAACAAACTCGGTCTAAAAACACAAGGTAGTGATTGTTTTAAACAAAGCAATGTTGAAATACTAGTTTGGTTTATAAATAAATTCCTGCTTACAAGACAATCATGACATAAAAGCAACACAAACATTAAAAATCACAGGTTTCTGTGCTATTAGCTAGCAATGACTAATCTAAGGTGTATTTTAATTTGAATTTAGACTCCAAACAATGACAGACTATTAATAAAACTAATCAGCTCTTATTTTGAAATGCCTCCTGAATGAGGAATGATGCACTTCCTCCTCCAAAAGGCTAAACTCCCATAGATCTTGTGGCGTTTTGAAAAGCCAGCACAAGAAATAAAGTGCAGAATGAGGGCAAAACACAGTGGTGATATCTGATGCGAATAAATATTATTGTAATTATGACTCTCATGCACTTTCTTGCACCATGTCAAACAATATTTTAAAACCTTTGTATTTCCAAACATTAGCACTTTTATGCAAACAGACTACATTTGGACCCCCAGGCTCCCATAGCAGCTCTTCTCTGCTTACACAGCAGTGCTGTCGGTTCATGATGTCGCTGTGCCTGCTGGCATAAATTGGTGTCTGAAGTTTCTTTAAATGTGACCTCGGGATATTTCAGGTTTTACATAATCAGAAGACTTCTGCTATAACAAGTTATAGACATTATCAATAAAAATATATTATATGTAGGTGAAAATAATTGGTAAAAATGAATAAATATACATATCGATCAAGTTCAGCCTGCAGAATAATGCTGCAAGTGTATGTTCAAAGTGTGACTGGATGCTTTTATTTTATAATTGGGATTTTTATTTTGGCCCCGCATTTGAAAAGTACTACTTTTAACACATTTTGTAAACTCACCATTTTTCATTCATGCTAAAGGGTTGTTAACGGGAGTCTGTAAACAGGACACTGTAGCTGTCTTACATTTTAAGTGACCAGAGAAGCAGGAAGTAGTTTAACAATGTTCATTGGGGATGCACGATTCATCGGCATCAATCTGTATTGGCTGATGTCAGTAATTGTTTTAACATGTCAGTATCGGTCCGATAAGTAAAACTGGGTCCATGTTAACAGATATTTTTAGCATCTTGTTTCTGTATCTGTTTCGGAGGGTGAGGCGGTGATGCTGTGTAATTGTTTAGTCATGTGAACAGTGAATGAAATCATTGCAGAACCATAAATGTGTGTGGTGTGTGTGTACATAACGTAAATTCAGCTTTAATCATTTTCATTCTATGCAAAATCTTCTGATTTTGAAGCATTAACGTCAGCATATCGGTATCGGCAAATATCGGTTATCTGCCATAACAATTATATTAATATCGGATATTGGTATCAGCCCAAAAGTTTTATATCGGTGCATCACTAGTTAAAACCATTAACCACACAAATACACATCTAACTTTACAGCACGTAAACAGTGCTACAGTGTTTGCAGTATCAACTCACAACAAGCCTACGAAATGCAGACAGCTGACGGACGACATGAGAAAAAGGTTGTGTTTACTTTCTGTCTGACCTAGCTGTCTGCAGCGCCAGCCCCGAAGCACAGAACAACCCAAATGTATTTCCTAAATGTCTCAGTGTCCTACGGCCCCGGCTTGAGACTGGGCATTGACTGGAGACGAGCGCGAGGAAAAGTGATCGTGTGTGAAACAGGCTGGAACCACCCCCAATTAAATAAGCCTCGTCTTTTCAAGAAAAATAAAGTTAATTGACGTTTTCTGACAGGAGAGACTTATTAGCCACAATCCTTCTAAAGCTACATACAGGTGCCAGCACTAACGGCAGCATTGATGATGCATTTTTGTACAAAAGGGAACGTTTTCTACTTCACAAAGGAAATGAGAAGGATCTTGGGCATGAGGAAAACATAGTTACCTATGTAATGAACAACACAAGTTTGGCCCTTCTTTGGAAATGTCCGTCCTGTTGATAGAAAAGAGAAAACAAATGTTACTGCGGGTTATTCAGTGGTTGGGATGATCCTGCTGGGAATGCAATATTCCCTATAACCCTGCAGCCATGCTGACATTAACCCAGCCGCTCATCTTTAAGTTAATAAGTATTTGCAGGACACATTTTTAATGCATAATTATGGTCTGATTGGTTTTTGAGTGGGATAATTTGGACTTTGGAAGCAATTTGGGTATTTTATCCCGATAGTTCGTTATTTGGCGAAAATACAGCTTATGGTATGGAAGAGCTTTACACTACTTAATCCTTTGGGAATCGGTTACCTTCTTAGCAAACTCTTGGTTCACATTCCCTTGCAGATTCATTTTGGCAGGGTAATGGATAGTTCTGGAAAACTGCCATGCAGCCTTCACTGAGTGATGATGAGCAACATAAAACATCGGCTTTACAGAAAGCTCCAATTGTGCCATTAAAAAATTCCGCACTGCTTCATCTCTGAACCTGATATTTTGTAGTATGATATTTCCAAAGCTGCAGTTGCACGACATTCCAGGGAACTGCCGAACCCCCGCAGCACTCCCACCCCACATCAAACGCAACCGAGCGGCCACGGTCACTTACCATCACCGGGGGATATCGTCTCGACTTCCACGCCCATGGTTGTGCTTCTTGTGAGTTTAGCGATAAAACATAGAGCCCGAACAGCACTTTTTTTATAACCGGCGGTGCACCTTCACGCTACAAGACAGCGGGCTTAATCGATAGCAAGCGTGCATTCAGCGACCGCTAAGCAGCCGCAGCCTCGACCAGCCGTGAGAGGGAGCTTGTTTTGTCGCGAGACAGCGTCAACTGTACGTGAGGTGTTGTGACGAAAAACGTTCTCCCTGTTCAGCCGAAAAATGCATCCGCACCACAAAAGCCCATTTCAAGTCACGTCGATTCATCAAAAGAAACAAAATATGTTTTAGATTATTCATATTTTATTTCGTCGTAGTTATGTTTCTATGTATTTGTATTATGTTTAGTATTTTATACAATTTTTACTTCACTGTAAAGCTATTTTATCGAATTTTTTGGCTGAAATTGAGTTTTAAATAATAATAATAATAATAATAATAAAATAACAATAATAATAATAGCTATCTGCATGGCGAAAACGACCCTATCACAAACTAACTACATATTCCATGATGCACTTCGTCGTAGTTCAGTTTTGCTTCCGAGTCATTTTCAGAATCACCGACAGAGATACTTTTGAAGCGAATTTATTGATAAAATTAGTTGTATGTGTAATTTTTATGTTTTTCAGACAACATGGTTATGATATTTTAAGGTATGTTCATTTATTTATTACTTATTTATCTTTTGTACAATAAGCATGTTTGTTTGCCTATCACGTGTTACATCTAGTTAACCTAGCTTATTTTCACTATGCATGCACGTTCTTAAAGATTTGTCTGCGTATGCAATTTAACTTTTTTCCATTTATTTCTTATATGTTTGCTTGTAGAGACAAAAATATGAAGTTTTGCATTTGTCTCCTTTTAACTTTGTCAATTTTTGTTTACAGTTTTAATCACACCAGCATGGGTCTGTGAAGGTGACGACTTAATGTTTCCACATCTAAAAAAAAAAGGACTTGGTGTGGGGACACACCCAACAAAGTATTGTTAATGCCCTGGGTTCCTAACTATGCTGTTAAGGTCATCCGGCGTAAGCAGCTATAGGTGTTCGTCACGACAGCCTCAGCTCAGTCAGGAGGGATTACAGCGTGTACTTTGAAGGAGACAAAGGAGAGGCTTTTGCTATTCTTAATCTGCAAAGGTAGCAATAGCCACTCTTGTCCTCTGAGCAGACAATTCTCTCGTAAATGCCTCATTTATGAGGCTTTTTTTTTTCTTTTTAACAAGCTTTTTTGTTTTTGGCAGGATGGATCTTGGTAAAGCAAAGCTGCTTAGGACAGGACTCAACACTCTACACCAAGCGATCCACCCTGTGCATGGGATTGCATGGACAGATGGCAAGCAGGTCTGCCTGACATCCCTCTGTTTCATCAACGGGGAGGTGAAGTTCGGAGACACGAACGTAATTGGTCAGTTTGAGCATGTTCTCGGTCTCTTTTGGGGCCCGCTGTGCTGCTCTGACTCTCCTGCGCTGCTGGCTGTTCAGCACAAGAAGCACGTCACAGTGTGGCAGCTGCAGCTCAGTACCCTTGAGCAGAACAAGCTGCTCTGCACCCAGACCTGCGAGATGAGCGAGCCGTTCCCGTTGCTTTCTCAAGGCTGCGTCTGGCACCCTAAACTGGACGTCCTGGCTGTCCTGACGAAGAGAGACACATCCGTGTTGTTCTCTGTTAGGGTGGACAACCGGAGGATCAAAGCAGACATCAAAAGTAGCGGACTCGTTCACTGTGCTTGCTGGACTAAGGATGGGACTCGCCTGGTGGTGGCCATAGGCAGCGCTCTTCATTCTTACATTTGGAACGACATCCAGAAGAGCCTCGTGGCCTGCTCCTTCTGCCCCATCTTTGATGTGGGGGGCTACATTTGTGCAATTGAAGCCACGGGAGAGGCTCAGGTGGCCGTGGCTACAGAGCTCCCGCTTGATAAAATATGTGGTTTAAATGCCGGCATGGCTTTTGACGTGTCATCAGAGACGGAGTCCCCTCAAGGCCAGGGTGTGCCAGATGATGATAGCCTTGTGGATTCAAGAAGAAAGTCTTTTGACACGGAGAGATCTTTTATTCCCAGCTCGGGTCCTCTCGATCTCACCCAGCTCCTAGCGAGGCACCGGCGCTCGGACCCCAGCCCTTTCATCCACCTGCGTCGCCGCGACACCGTGACAGGTTCCGGGCAGGACTGCTCGCACCTCGTCCTGGTTACCTACGAGCGGAAGGTGACCACAACCCGCAAAGTTAGCATCCCGGGGATTTTGGTTCCTGACATAGTTGCTTTTGATCCTCGTGCCTCCACAGTTGCAGTGGCTTCTAACACCTGCAACATGGTTCTTGTCTACAGCATCACAGCCTCTGCAATGCCCAACATCCAGCAGATCTCTCTGCAGCAAAACGACCGGCCCAAAGGGGTCTGCTTCCTCAGTGACAAGGTTCTGCTGATGATGGTGGGCCGGCAGAAGTCCAACGACCCTGCCTTCCTTCCTTCATCCAACACAGATAAATTCATTCTTCGCCTCGTCGTCAAAGAGTTGATATACGACAGCGGGACACCCGTCGCACCATCCCCCTCTTCTAAGAACAATGAAGCTTCTTCTAATTTCTGCGCAGGGATTAGGAGACACTCGGAGCACTTGTCAAAGGATGACAGGGAGCGCCCAGGGATAAAGGACTTGGTGCTGCCTGGCAGAGGGGTAGTTTGCTCACCAGGGAACAGGCGCCGGCTGGTCGAGGAGGTGAAGAGCAGCGAACCCATCACCGTCACCACCTCTGTGGACTTGGCCGAGCGGTCCGACAGAGCCCAGTCCGGCCGTTCCTCCATCACCATGGAGAATTTCGACATGGACCACATCAACCGAATGACCAGCTTGGCGGTGGCTGGCCAGGCCAGCAGAGATTCCAGTCGGGCGAGTTCCCCTCGCTTTGAGTTATCGGAGAAGATCCACGCAGAGCCGACCCTGCCTGTGCCCGAGAAGGTGTCCGGCTCGCCCAAGGAGCGCGGTCTAGAGCAGCTTGTGCACAACATGGAAAGGCTTTTTACGCGCTTCGCAGATGTGCAGCGGTGTCTGACGGAAATCAGAGACTACACGCAGAACGGCAAGAGGGTCCAGAATGTGTATCCCAGTGCAAGCGAACCTCCATATGTCAACATCACATGCCAGGTACAGTCCTGTATTTAACATTTACACAGAGCTTAAGTAGCACCCCTAGCCTAAACCCGGCAACAGGAATTGACTCTTGACTCTTTTCATCTTTGACATGAAGAAGCAGCTATCAGAGAACGTGTTCATTGATGAGAGGAGGCCAGTGCTGCTGTGTGAGGGGAGGCTCTGTCTACGGGTCCTCCAGGACCTCTTCAACCTCCCCATCGTGGAGATGATGTATGGTACGTGCATCACTTCACTGCCAGGTTATCGGCGTTCCAGAGGGTACAGGGTGAATTAATGGAAACCTCTGAGGAAACTCCCTCCGGTCCCTTTAAGCAGGTCTTCCTCCTGCCTTAATTTTTAGAACACTTCCAAGATGGGCTTACCTTGCTTGGGTCAGTGTTAAATGTTCCGTTGTTCTCCAAATGTATTTTTGTTGCTTTAAGAAATATATCATGAACATCTTTTTAACTTTGTAACTAAACAACTTGCTCTGCCATTGTTCTTCCATTAATGTACAGTGTTGGGAGTAACGCGGTACAAAAGTAATTAATTACTGTAATGCATTGCTTTTTGCTGTAATGTGGTAATTTAAGGCATTACGGGGAAAGAAAATGGTAATATTTACTCGGTACAGTTGTCAGTAACGCGGTAATTACGACGCATTTTTAAACCCAGAATCAAGATGTGGGTTTCCTAAAAATTCAAATTGCGGGAAGCCTGACAAAAGATCCAGTATCCACATATATGACGTCATTTATGGACTCAGGTTTGCGGGCATTCTATGAGCAGAGAGGACGCAGCGGTAATGGCTCAAATACTCCAGCCGTGTCCTGCACGCGGCCGCTGTTATATTCACAAAATCGCTCCACCAAAACAAAGTCATTTGTTTGCGACCGTTTAAATCAGCCCATATTCTCTGGTACTTCATGTACTTTTCAGCTGAGTTCATAATCTGTGCCCCGGTGATTTCAACTCATTGCTGCTGGTTTGGTAGATCCCTTTGGCTGATTAGTTAGAAAGTAGAAAATCTAGGAAATTGTTTTTCTGGAAGACGGAGAAAACATGCAGGAAGGTCAGAGAGAGAAAGGGCCGGAAATTATTCAAATAAAATCAAGAAAACAAAACAAAGTGCTTGAAAAGAAAAAAAGTAGGTAGATTTATCCCCAATACACATGTTTACCAGTGGAAAGCAATAATATATAAGCATTTAACATTTATACATGTGATAGAATCAGATCACCCCAGAAGTCAGTCCCACATCCAGGGCCGTATCAAGGCATTTGGGGACCAAGGCAAATATAGGCTTGGAGCCGAGCCACCCCCCCACCCCCCTCACTCCCTGCTCAGTTAATATAAGATGGCAGCGTGCTGAGAGTACAGATTGTTGTTGCTTTTATTTAATAAACAACCATTTTAAAACACCGTTATTATATCTGACTGTTTTTAACAGCAGCCCTAGCTCACACACCACATCACCTTCCACATATATGTCATGAGCTCACTGAGCGTCACATTACCAGATTCATATTGAAGTTGTTTTGGTGAAAGTAACTTAAAGTAATGCAAAAGTAGTGTAATGCCTTACATTTTGAAATCAGTAATATTGTAATGTAATGAATTACTTTGTAACTTGCCCAACACTGTGATTGTATCGATGCTATAATTAGAAGCGATTAGGAGCCTAGGTCTGTTTACAAGGTTTAAAACAAAAGCAGCTTACCATTCCTGAGCTAATACACACCCTCGTTGTTGCTGTCACAGTCTTACGTTTTGGGTCAAATCAACAAAGAATAAACAACAGTTTTGTGTATTTTTTCCAGGACCGTTGTGGATTGTACTTGTGGCAGATGCAGATGGATTTGTGCCTCTGACATTCAAGCCCAAAGGGGAACTGACCGTTCGGAACGGGAAGAGGAAAACTACTCTTCGGACTCCTGGAAGTCCAGACGATTCTTGCCCATCCAGTCCCGCTCCCTGCCAAAGTCCAACAGCACCCACCGAGGCCTCATAGTGACTCCTGGTGCACTTTTCTGAAGGGTCCTAAAGAGAGTTGCTGCTTTTTTTTTTTTTTTTTTTTTTGCTTTGAACTTAAAGAGACAATGTGTAGTTTTTATCGTTAATCTCTGAAAATATCCAACGAAATGTTGTTGAAAATGAATTAAATGATGCCCAGTTGCTGAAATATTTTGGCAGCTTCATAACGTATAAAAGAGGTGCTGAAAAAAATTGATTCAAGTCTGAATCGGGATTCGTATTTATAAAGATTCAGAATCGATTCACAAAGATTCAGAATCGGTTCCAAGAACTGAAATATTTGGCATGTTACGGGTTTGAGATGAACATTTTTGATCTTTGTTAGGAGAGTCAGTACTCCGTTTACTTTTGTGGTCCCATAAATTGAAATAATTTATGTTTGAATCTGCTGATAAGAGGGCACTTAAATATAATTTTTTCCATACTCAGAAATTTGAGATATTCTCATATTTATTATATTAATTATATTAATGATCTGATTTTACTCCCAAAATGTCGAATTTTGTAGTTATGCTTCATAGTTAATTTAAAAAAAAATACAAAATGAGTAAAATTTGTTCGTGCCAGGGAAAATTAAAAAAGGAGCTTAATGTTATTCTGTAAAGTATGTACCACACATGGCCACAAGAGGGAGCAACACTCAACAAAACCTTCACTAAAGCATCCTTCTGGGTCAGCAGTACTCACTCCTGGTCCTGGGGAGCCGGTACTCAGCATGTTTCAGTTTTAACTTTGCTTCAACACACCTGATTTCAATCAGCAGGTCATTATCAGGCTTCCGAAGAGCTCGGTTAGCTGCTGCAGAGGTGCTTCAACCACTGATTTAGGTGTGTTCGAGTAGAGAAACAAGGAAAACATGCTGGATACCGGCACCAGGTGTCAGTACCACTGTTCTGGGTTATTTTTCAAATAAACAATTTTCAGCTACTTTTGTTGTCGCCCACTCTTAAAAGAAACACAAGACCCACAAACGTATCCATATCCACCCAGCCTCTACGGCATTTATTCATAAATCTTTCTGTAATCATGTATCATAAATAAATAACAGTGTTGAGTCAAACACAGCAAATAATATACATTCATTTATATAAATTAGTCCCACTTTTATATGATTTGTATACGGCTGAGATGACTATACAGTACATGTGAGAATAAAACCAAACCTGTTTACAATAAAACAATGTCAGTATTAAACAGTGTAATATACACCAAAGAACAACCTCCCAGCTCTAGCGGCTGGAATCCGTGGCTTTTCTTTGTGAACGCACTCCAAATGTCCAGCTCACATGATGCTCAAACCGTCCATCGTTCTGGAGCCGACGCTCTGTTTCCTGCGAGAGACACCAGCATCAGTGACGCGCTACATTCATAGCATGGACAGAAGATGAAGAAATAGCATACAGGAAGATTTTAGTCTTTCATCTATCTCCACACAGCTCTCCACCGTGATGAAGCAAAAACCAGTCCGAAGAGGGATCTGTTAGTAAATATGAAAGTCCAAAGTCTTTAGATCCTTCATTTGTGAACTTTGCTGCATCCTGTCAGTGACTCTTGAAACGATGCTCCAGGTGTACTGGGGTCCACCTGGAGTTAACTGGACACATAATGAAGAAATGGCTGTCTGCATGCAGTCACATATGCATGGCTGTGTTAAACGAGGTGATATCTAGGCACATATGTAAAGAATACACAGAAAAAAACCACTGCCTTTGGCGTAACATCGTTCATCGTGATGAAATAAAATAACGCAGAAACCGACGTCGGCTTCACTGCTGCAAAAAAAGCATTCACCTCCTACGGATGGCTTGTTTCTGCTTTTTTTTTTTTTGTCACACTTTTGTTTTTGTTTTTATGTTTGGGAAACAAGTTTTCGTATCAGACAAAGACATCCCGAGTCAATACAAAATTCACTTTTGAAGTGATGATGTATTGAATATGGAGGAAGGGCTAACCGAACCAACAGAGTCATCACCCCTAGCCTTAAAGGTCTCATTCTTTTAGTAGATCTGTGGTCTCTAGTGTAAAGGAGTGGAAAAAGCTCTGGCACTCCTGTTTCAGGAAGTAGAAGTGTAGCGTCGGTAAATGAAAAGAAAATATTCATGATATGCAAACAGCTAGCCTCTGATTGGCTAATAGCAACACCACTCTTCTGCTGCCTTCATTCAGACATCAAATAACAAGCCCGGACGTCTTCCACCATGTTGTGGATATGCTGTTGTTAATGGTTAGCTTCTACTAGACAAGACACGCTCTGCTCTCTCCAGGACGCAAAATCATGACAGCCTTCTGCAGTCGCAAACGAAGGTGGGCGAGGCTATGAATACAATTGGAAATGTAATGTTCAGATATGTAGCGTCATGAATGTCCTGTTTATGACCTAAAGGTCAATCGTGTTTTAAAACTAAACAAATATGTTTTCTCAGTGAGACCTTTAATCTCAATAACTGCAATCAAGCCTTTGAGAAAACTGGTGATGAGTCCCTCACATGGCTGTAGGGTAACCTTGGTCCACTCTTTGCTGAATTGCTTTAATTATTTCACATGAATGACCTGTTTAAGGTCAAAGGTTCAGGAACCTTCACGACTTTCTGCTAGAGAGCTGAATTCACAGTGCCATTAGTTACAGCAAGTAATCCAAATCCCAGACCATCACACTGCCACCGCCACGACTGTCTGTTGGTTTGGTGCTTTCCTTGTCTACAGACATAGTTTTATAGCAGATGTAACGGGACGTCCACCTTTCACAAAGATCCACTTTTGTCTCTGTAACCGTTGAGAATCACTACGATGTGAAACATGAGACCGGGCTTTTGGTTCTTTTGACCTTGGAACTCTTCCTTTTCCACTTGTAGCTGCTGGGGTTGATCTCAGCTTTCCAAACCACGTTGATCATCACAGTTATGGGTTATTGCCTTTTTTTTTTTTTTTTTGCATAAGGCCAGTCTAATTTCTCATGTGAGGCATTTTTGTGTGACAAAAAAACCCTGAAACCTGTAAGGGAGACTGCGTTTTCACCGCTCTAGTAACTGGACATTAAGGGTCACTATCCGACAGGTAGACCGATGCCTCATCCAGAGTACCTTTGTGTCTGTGTGAAGAACATCTTTCAGTCCAGCAGCCGACTCAGTCCAATGTGGTAATGACAGAAGCAGTAAAAAAGCATAACTTTACCCAAATACACATGAACATTTATCAGAGAACAAAGTCTGGAAAGACAACATTCATGAAGGCAACCATGTAATAATGACACAATTCCTACAGTCCCAACATGATGATGGCGGCTTTACTTAACTCATTCACTGCCAGCGTTTGTCACCGTTTTTACTGGTTTTTTTAAGAGTCACAGAATGTTGCACGCTAGGATGATGTCGATGCCAAAACAACCAAAACAAAGCGGAGACTCACCTCTTACATCAGGAAGAATCCGTTCGTTTCGAACGTTATCCGTTCTTTGATAATCCGTTGTTGAATTGTGATCGGCAGAAGCTTTTCCAGTTCGCGCCTCACTTTTTTTTACAGCAATGGCTCAAAATGATCTCCTAACACATGGATGTTCTGCTTCCTGATCATGTGACTTATGAAGATCGGCTTTAGAGCTGTTTGTTCTCACGGTGCGGGGGCTCGTTCCAATGCCCACACAGTAAAAACATGCAAATGACAACTTTAGTCGTCACTGGCAGTGAATGAGTTAATAGACGTGTTTTTCTGTAATAGACTCGTCAGGACTGGAGGTAACGACGTTAAACCAGGAGGGATTAGAAAGTGTCGGTGACACTTTTGTTGCACAAAGGGGTTGAAACCTGAAAGTTATTTAGCTTAAATGCGCTAAAACATTGTCTTTGTTTTACATAAAGACATTTTGTTGCGTTTTTCAATAACTTCAAACAGCTCCGATATTTGAAACGTACCCTACTCATGATTCAGTGGCATGCTTAACAATTTAAGATGAAAATCTTTTCAATAGCTTTTTCACCAGTGTTCGGCAGCTTCGCCTCCGTCAGTGCGCCCCAGGGCAGCTGTAGCTACAGTGTAGATCATCACCACCAGCATGTGAGTGTGTGTGCATGGGTGGATGACTGATTGAGTTGTGAAGTGCCTCGGGGGGGTTGTAGAACCCTAGAAGGCGCTATACAAATACGGGCAATTTACCATTTACAATCCAACGTAACAATTGCTTGAGGGAAACCACGAAAAAAAATGGCCTCCCTCAAGAGAACTGTGTATAACCCCGGCTTTCCACAGGAGCCGTCAGCAGCACGTTACTGCAGCAGCACGTCATAGCTGCTGATAGGAACCGCTGTGGTCAACAGAACCTTTTCCACTGGAGCCGTCAGCAGCGCGAGTCGGCCGCGTCTCAGGAGCAGCATGTCGCGGCCTTTACGCGCCGGTTCTATTTTCTACGCGCGACGCCTCTGAAACGGGTCAAGTTCGACATTTTTGGGGAAGGAAAGACAGGAAATCAAACGCGGAAATGGAGAGAAGCTCCCGAGATTTTCAGAATAAAGAGCGTACTGCGTTCCGGTTGCTTTACTTTTAAAAACAGTTACTAACTGTGCGACCCCGTGAGAAGTTATCACCTAGCTAGCGGTCTCCTTTGTTTTTCAGGTCCGTATTGGCGATTATAAAACGGACAGAACATAAAACACAAACCATGTTGTAGTTTTCTCCTGCTTGTTGTTGTGTTTACTGACGAAGTCACTCGTGTGACTTCGTGCTCGGTCGGTGACAGCTGCTCTCCTGCTGCTTCGCGTCTCGTGGGAAGGGCCAAGCAGCAGTTTACGCGAGCAAGACGTGCTGCTGCAGTAACGTGCTGCTGACGGCTCCGGTGGAAACCCGGGGTAAGAGTCATGTGTAGACATAAAGTAAAGCGTCTTCACTGGTCCCCAGCACCAGCAGTGGCTCTGCAGCTTCTCTTGACCTGAGCTGAAGCCTCCTTAGAAGAGATGTTTGAAGTTTCTGGATTGTTTTCGAGAAGAGCTGGGCTAAGTGAGATACGTTGATAAAACACTATGGCTAATTGTATTTGCATTACAGAGCATGTAGCTTAATAAGGAAGTGCAATCAAAAATAAGACGTGGAAGGGTTCAGAGTCTTCAAACTGGACCAGCTGCTCAGGCACAGATAGCGCTGAGATACCAGTTTGACCGGAGCTTCACGTCCTATGTTACTACCCATCACAGAGACACGGAACAGACGTCAGAGTTGTAGAACATCTTTCTACAGCTGGATCTGTGACGGGTCAGACTTTCCCCCTCAAGTGTCCGTTAATGAGTTCTACACACCGTAGCTCCTCCAGCTGGACTCGGTTCCTGAGCCGTACATCTTCGTTGATGGGGTACAGGAGCAGGATCAACAAGCCAGTGACGATGAAGGCTACGGGCGCTACGCCGATCAGCAGCTTCAGGGTGTACACCACGGGAGCAGGCTGCCTGCAGGCACCATTGTTGTAACCTGCAAACCTGCGTGCACACAAGGAGGCAGAGATTCATCCCAAAAAGGAACCGGCAAGACAAAGTGTGGTGCAGGAAATGGTGATACAGAAATGTGAAAGGAAGCATGAGATCATAACGTGTTTATGTTATGATGGTTTTAAAAAGAAGCTCAAGACCTAATGCTTTAGCTTGGCTTTGACTCATTCATTCATTTTACTTAAAGGGACATTATGGAAGTTTGACAGTCAAAACATGAATAGAAATAATAAATTTCTTCTTCATACATTCTCCTGCAATGCCCTGGTCCTGTAGAATGAGCCCTGGCATTTTTACTGTGATTGCTTGTTTTTCTGTAAAATCACAGAAAAAGAGAGATGCTCGGGTCGAGCAGGCTGCTTCATGCGCGTTCACGCTCAGGCATCGCCCGTAGCATTTGCTATCCGTAGCTTTAGCAGCAGAGAGAGAGGCAGTGCCAACTCGGCGACTTTGTCGCTGTTCCTAACACCTAGTGACAAAGCTAGCTACATTTCTGAGGACCCTTAGCTACTTTCTGTAGAACTTTCTTCAAGATATTTCCTGCAAATTAGCAACAAAATAGCCATTTTTGCTCCGAACCGTTCTTTGGTTTGACGTTGTTTCAGCTGTCATCAAGGATATAAAAGTTACAGATAGATTGAACGTCACTGGCGCTTTAGCTCACCTAGTAACATGTCTGACCCTCATGCAGAAGACCTGGGTTTTACTCCAGTTGTGAACATAATTTGTCATTTAGAGTTTCTTTTTTACATTAACGGTATATTTTTTTACATTAAGATGCCCAAATTTTTATTTGAGACTCGCCGAACGGCATTGAATTCACAGATAAAAAAGATGTGGGTTCAACTTTCATTTTGGAACAATTTTTCAAGCAAGGGAAGGGAATGATCTGAGCATGCAGGAGGACTGACCCATCATAAACCTTTGTCGGCTGTGCTGAAGAGAAAGGTACAGAACCAAATTATTTAATTAATTAGCTGTGCGTTCTCCTGTCCTCTGTCCTCCGGGCCACACACACACACACACACACATGGGACTGTCTCAGCTGTTATTTTAATTAAAGCCTGTGCACATACAACATGCGCGCCTCGTGCACGAGCCTACTATTGAAGCTGCAGTTACGCTTTTGGCCTGAGGGGGCAATCACGAGCATAAAAATTCAAAAGTCCGTAAAGTCCCTTTAATTAATGTTTTTCTGTTCGGTTTTATTGCCATATGTTACTCAACACGTGTTTCGGAACTCTTTAGATTTGTATTTAGCTATAATTTAGTTTACCACGAGGATCGCCCCTGGACTCTGTGTAAGTCTGATGATGTGTGTTTGTGAGCACTTTGAGTTTATAAGTGTGTATTTTTAACATTACAATAGTGTGTGAAGGCTGCATTTTTAATCTACATGTATTGTTTTTATTTGTGCGCTTTGTGCTAATTTTATCCTAAAAAGTGCTTTTTGAATAAAATGTGACCGATCAGTCGGTTGGTTGACTGACTGACATAATTTGGTCTTCATGAGGTTTCGATCAAAGCAGGAGTTTTAGTTGTTTGTTGATCTGGAGCATACCGTCATGTGTTATACGAAGTAAGCAGACTATTTTAGAATATTTTAGAGATTTTTTTTTTTTTTTTTTTTTTTTTTTGCTTATCAGTCTACTCGGGATATTTCAAACTAATATCAAAGTTATGCCGTCTAGTTACAGGATTTGTCACAAGACAGAGATGCTACTTTTACCAGAAGGAGATCCTCTCATCACACTAAGACCCTAGTTAGCAAGTAAATGTTAAAACAAAGCATTGAACAAGTTTGGCTTCCTTGGAAAAGTTGTGTTTCTCTACATGTAAGAATGTCCTCTTTACAGTATAATGACTCCACATGTGAGAAGTTTGTTTATATGAAGAAGTTCTAAAAACAAATAAAACACCAACTCCTAAGCAGGGTGGGGGCTGTGTTGTGATTAGGGATTGTTCTCAGTGGCCTAGTGGTAGAGTGTCCCCCCTGAGACTGGGAGATCAGGGTTCGATTCCTGGTCGGGTCATACCAAAGACTTTGAAAAAGTGGGACCCAATGCCTCCCTGCTTGACACTCAGCTTGGATAGGAGGGTTAAACCACCATATAGTTCCAGAACGCGGCTGTGTCTGCAGCTCACCGCTCCCCCAGGGGATGGGTCAAATGCGGAGAACAAATTTCGCACACACACCTGTGTGTGTGACAACTAATGGGACTTTAACTTTTCTGTGGCCATAATTAAAGTAACTTTGAATTCTGCAAATAATCTCCAGACTATCTGTGAGACAGCTGAGTTTTGAGACAAACCGAGTCACAAAACAGGACGGTGACCCCAAACACAGCAGCTAATCTACTACAGAAAGGATGAATAAAAGATGTGTAAAAAGATCATAAGGAAGTAGACTTTTTCAAACTGCTGAAAACAGATCCACACTGATTGTGTTGGGTTTGCTGTGCAGCACCTGGTACGGACCAGACCATGTATGAGTGATTAAAAACATACTGCAGACAGAGGGTGGACACTCCCAGAGAGACACCAGCAGCAAATTTAGTGAAGAAGACGTAGAACGAGTAGAAGATGGCTTCATGGCCTTTACAGAAGGGGTTGGTCAGTCTGAAGTCATCAACCACATCTGGCAGCATGGACCTGGATAGCAGATGCACACACACACACACACATTTACAGAGGATTTTGTGAACATGTGTCCTCGGCCTCTAATGCCTGAATTCACTGGTAGTCACCCCCCCTAATGCGCTGACTTCATTTCCTTACAGAACCGGTAGAGATGCCAGCGGATGATTACTACTTTAAGAGCTCTGATATACCGGTGGGCTAAATTTACAGAGCTAATAACATGATTAGATGAGGAGCAGCGGGCGGTACCGCTGTCCTTAAGCCCACAGATCAGAAAACACAACTGGCCTCTTCTAAAGTAAACATGCCCCCCCCCCCCCCCCCCTCCCCCGCGGGAGGCTGTAATTTGAGGGAGGGGAGCAGTAAAAGAGACCGGAAAGCAGATGCAAAGATACCTCTATGACCTTGTGATTGTGAGAAAGATTTACAGCCGGCGCCACTTCTCGTTCTCTAAAACAGCATCACTCTCACCGCTCACCATGGCAACAGCAGTGACGCAGCCACACTGAGTCCAGAGGAGACGGCCACAAAGTACGCCACCACCAAGTTAGGGATGAACACCAGCATCATGGTGAACGGCATCATCCACTAAAGACGTAGCATGAGACAAAAAGTCAGTTTAGTAAATGGAAAGAGTCTGCACTTCTGAATCTAACCACAAGATGGCGCAAACATCTAAATTCAATAAGCCACTTACTGTGATGCCACAAAAAGCTGCTGTCTTCTTCCCAAATCTCTGCAGAAACCACTGCCACAGCGGGATGCTGATCACCGCAGACACCTGTGGACAGGTGCAAAAGGACAGGGACTTCAAATACACGAGACCGTCTTTAGTTTGTGAAAATGAGCTATTGTGGAAAGATTTATTCCCTTTAAAATCCCCAAAAATGTAAAGTTGTGATAAAATTATTTGTTGGGGGGTGGGAAGATGAAAAATTAGATGTTCGACAAAGAAACAGGGAAGAAAGGCTCTTCTAAAATACAACTAGGTCATTAAGTAGAACAACATTCAACATGGGAGAACATCAGAGTGATGACGGTGGTGGACCTCCCCCTCCAGATGTCCTGTTGGTAGAATTAGAAATGTGACGAATGATCACACATCATTTAGAGGTGGTATTGTTCCCACAATGGATCTAAACCGAGGCTGACTGGCCAAGGGTTAGCAACTTCTCTTTCAGTTCTTAAAAAACTGATCAGTAAAAATATTTTTGAAGAGTATTAATTTGATGTTGATGGATGGATTTGTGTTTTACTTTTATTTGGGTTGTTGGTTCATTGCGGGAAATTAAAAAATGTTTTGTAAGTAGGTTAGGCAATTATATAAGCTATTGCTTTTGCCTAAACCTATTCAGTCATGATATACCAAATAGACATCATATAAAAAACAAGGCATATGTTAGTGAGAAATGGTATTTGTATCTAATTGTATGACATGTTAATGTACATTATCTTAAGATAACTGACTGAATAAATTGATCATTCATTCATTCATTCATTCAGGGTTGAAAAAGCTGAGCAGACAACAACGTTACAGAAACATTTACATTATTACAATAAAACAAGGAACATGTCTAAAAAGATTTTAGGCTTTCCAGTGCAGCTACTGCCTGAGATTCCAGCCTCAGCTTAGACATAATCTCAACAGACAAAATGCACGTGTTTCATTGTCTAAGATGTAAAAACAAAAGCAAATCAGACATCAAAGAAATGTCAAGGCTGCTGCCAGTTGCTCATTAGTCACCGTGGTAACCACACACGTGTTTCTCACTCATTCACTTATTTTCCAAACTGTTTTCATGGCTGTGGAGAGCTGATGTAAGAGTGATCAGGGAACACACTCGCTCCCACACGGGGACAGTTTAGAGTTTAGCGTGCATATTTTCTGTCTGTGGAAGGAAACATAGAACGTGATAACGCCACAGAGAAAGGACGCAGCTGGGATTGGAACCTGCAACCTTTTTTCCACTTCCAGTTTTGAAAAATGACGTTTTTGATCTAATCTTTTTACTAAAGTTGTTCATCGTCTGCACTGCGAGAGGACGTCCCCCAGCAGGTGAAAGAAGACGAACCTGTCCACAGTTTGACATTAATTGTTTCTACTTTACATGTGAGAGGAGTTTGTTTGAAAAGGAACTGAATATTTTCCATCTCAAAGTCAGGATGGGACATTTTTAATCGTAATTTTGAATCCGGACAGGATAATAATGAAGGTGCTTCGGCGTTTATGCATAAGAGAAATGTGCCATGTGTGGTTTTTACTTTACAGAAAGTCAAACATGAGACTCACGAGGATGGTCAGCACGATGTTTTGGAAGTGATCCCTCAGGTCGGCGGCGTAGGTGCAGAAGAGGACTAGGTTGGTCTGTGTCAGCTGCAGAAATCAGAGAGAACACGTTCAGATATGCAAGCTTGTCCAGTCAGCACTCGGCCTGCTGCACCAACCACAGGAAGGAGCTGCTGACAGTCTCTGGCTCCGTTTCATTCCAACACAAGTCACTGCTGCCAAATCAGCTTCAGGCGACAGAAACGGATCAGTCCTGAAGCTTCAATTATCTAAATCTGATCATCTGAGGTGTCAAATCGAATGATCAGCGTCTCTAAGAAAAAGTCCCAAAAACTCAAAAGAGGCTTTAAACCAACAGTGGGAACCCTGCTTTCTCACACCTTTGTGTGTTTGTCTACCTGGATGGCCGCTGTGATGAAGATGAATGCAGCAGTCAGAATCAGGTACGGCCCGTGTCTCATCACCAGGATGAAGCCCTGACAGAAAGGCATCTGCTTGTCCGACTTGGGGGCGTAGGGATCTGGGAGGAATAAACGTGAGAGCCTGTAGCGTATCAGATAACATGCAGAGAGGGAACGGTGGTAGATTTATTGGAACTGCCTCTGCGCTGCAGTCAGTGGATGCGGCTTTACTCTGTTACCAGCACCAGTTATATGTTAGACATACAGAAGAGATGATGGTGAATATTAGCCTTATTGAATCCCAACATATGAAAAAAGGACTAATATAAACTAACAAGTTAACCCAAATGAATGAGAAATATCTCAGCTTGTCTGGATTGTGGTTTTGTATTGTTTTGTAGCTTTCATGCAACCAAAGTCTGCAGTTAACCTCGGTAACTGTTGTAACCACACATGCAAAATTAAACTATATCACAAAAACACTAAATATTAAAGGATGCATGTTTGTTTATTTGTTTTTTTTTTGCAGCCGTGTGGGTCTCTACTGCCTCTATAAACACTCCAAATGGGGGAAAAAAGCCATCCATCTGCTTTCTGTCAGTGTTTGCTACAGGAAGTATGAGTCTAAGATAAGCAGTTTGAAAAATTAGAAAAAGAACCACCTCTCATGTGTAAGAGAGGAGCAGCGACTCTACTCAGAGCCCCTCCCAGATCCTCAGCTAATAGCAGCCTGAGAGGATGATGGGACGGAGCTCATTCTGGAAGGTACTGGAATTGCCAGGAACAAAACTGCTGAAATGGCTTTATCTGAGGGATGTGATGTAAAGAATTGATCAAGGAACTAATATAACTTGAGAAAAAAGTCCCCTTTGACTCCTAAAATGATGCAATGCTAAAACAGGCTTAAGAAAAAAACATTTAGAGCTATTAAAATCAAATGAATGAATGAGTCATTCATCCAGTGAGGTCGTTAGACGGCTCACCATCTCTTTCTTTGACCCCCAGGAACATCACCACGGTACAGACGAGGAACACTCCTCCTATCGCACCAGCGGCGATCATGTACACCTCCTTCTGCAGAGGGAGAACAAACAGTCAGTGTGGCCCGCATCTATCAATCTCAGCTCCACCGAGTCTATTCTAAGACGTCCCACCATCTTTAATTCATGCTGCTCTCAGATGGCTAAAAAATTGATTTGGCTTCAACGTTCATTCGCTCAGGAACCATAGGTGTCTGTTTGCACGTTTATTCCACGTCTTCCTGGTTTCCTAACGCTGATGATCTATTGCGAGTGATTTATTTCCTGTGCGAGAACCTGCTGAGCATCCAGCACCACAAACAGGAAGACAACCTCATTCCTAAAATACAGGCTGAACTGTTTGAGCAGCACACCCGACAGGAACGGCTCTGCTTTAAACAACCTGTGTTTGTTTGCTGCTTTTCCACGTGGCTCACCTCAGCGGTTCTTTATTATTTCTGCACATCAAACGCTCCCTGTTTCCAAGGGCAGACAGAGTGTGCCCAGACGGTCGTGCCACCCTCATCAGGGACCGCTGGGCGAATGCGGTGGGCGGCTGTAGAGGGTTTGAGAGCGGTGAGCGGGTTCCCCCTGATAGGGTTCACCCAAAATCCATTGGAAAGAAATCCTTGAAAACCCCAAATAGCTGTGGTGCCGCTGAAATCTGGCACAGGACGTTTTCATTTAAACAGCAACTCCCATGATGGCGTCTCGGGAGCAGCACGGTTTATTCACAGCTCCGTGGACACGGCTGTTTCCTATCAGCTCCATTCTCTCCCCTCAAATGTGAGCTGCTAGCTTCCAGTGAAAGATCAATATTTCTGGGGTGCCTTCAGTCATTCTGGGTGAAACATAAATAAGCCTAATGACTTGCAGACGGGAAACCCCACAGTTCACCGGGACCGCGTTCGGAGCCTGACGTGAGGGAGGAACCCCCCCCCTTTGAGGTCTTAAATTGGGAGCAGGCTCAGAAATCGGGGTTCGGATATCAAACGGCGGCGTCTCCTTTCAATCACGCCATTTCATGGCTTAAAACGTGAACTTACTCTACGTGTCAGAACTTACAGACGGTCAATAAATATGGAGCCAATTTAGAACAATCTTTCTTTTCATTCAGTGTTCTCCTGTGTGTTTCTTTCCCCCAAAGGTTAAACCTCCTTGAGCACACACACGCACACGCACACATGCACGCACGCACACACACACACACAAAAAGAATGCTGATGACAGCTCTAGTTATTTTCTAACCGGCTCTTCGCCCCACTATCAGCACACCTGAGCTCCCCCAGTTGGCTCCAAGACACTTACAGCATGTGACAGGTAGTCCTGCAAGTGCACCGGGCTCCTCACTATCTCTGCCGCCCCACTGCTGTTTCCAAGGTAACCAGCAGACATGTTGTGAGTGGGGCAGTGCTTCAGAGTATGAGCGCTGGCCACGATCTGTCCCTGGATGGCGGCGCCCACAAGTGTCCCCAGCACCTCCATTGTCATTCCTGTCAGCAAAGACCTGTCAGCTCCGGCCCTGCATCACTACAGGTCCACATAGACAGCTGTGGTGACGAATCTTACGGTAAGCGGTGGCCGAGTCTCTCTCCTTCTGGTCCGTGCTTAGGAACATGGTGAGAGCAGAGTAAGGCACGTGGAAACACTGAAAACAAAAACAAGACTCATTAGCAAATTTAGAATGTCCTGAAATTCCTCAGGACAGACATATAATAGATCTAGAGGTCTGAAAAGCTGTTAGTATTACGGAAGTGCAGTTATACTAATGACCAGCAGGGGGTGACCGCTCCTGGTGGAACACTGAAAAAGAGTTTTTCCATGCAGGCTGAACATGAAAATAGTCTCCTACACCTATCTCCCGCATTAGCTTCTGATCTACGGCACACTGTCACTTAACATTCACGGACTCACCCATATTGACTCATGACAGGGAAGGCTGTTGTTGGTTTAGCGTCCTCAGCTAGTAGAAGCTAACCGGTAGCATTAGCAACTCCACGACACAGCAGGTACCTCAGGCTTGTGGTTTTAGTGGAGATAAAACATCAACATTGCAAAGAAGAGTCAGTGGTAGAGTCACACTGCTGTTATCCAATCCGAGGCAAGTTGTCCAAATACAAGGAAATAACCCAAAGCCCGCCATCGGAAGCTACTTTTTCCACCAGCTGACTTGTACTTCCTGGCTCAGGCGCAGCTGCTTTTTTCCCAGAGTACGACTTACAAGGATTCAACACCTTCAATCATATTTTATGGGTCAGAAAATAATGTTATTATTATTATTTATAGTTATTTATGTTCCTCTTGAGTACATCATCAAGATAATTTAGCACATCATGCAAATATAATTGAGAAATAAAGAACAATAAGACTTTGGGCTGGGTCCAGACTTAGCTCACATTTACCAGCTTTAAGGAGCAAACTTCCTACTGACTCATAGATATGCTTGTGAAGAATTAAAAAATGGCATGAATTCAGTTGGCATGGGTTCACATCCCGACTCGTGGGAAAACAGGTTTATTAACGATGGATGTGTTCCATTTCCGCATCTTTAGCTCTCCATCTACAATTAATTTACAGAATGTCGCTGTGGTCAAGTCACAACACGCCCCTCTATCGAGTCCAGCTTAAAATTTGTCTAGAAATTTCGGCAAAACGTAGCAGGTCAGTCTATCCATGCTATATTGTGGCCTCAGCAAACATTTTTAAACCCGTGCAATCACAGCGCTCTGTTTGTAGAGAGACGTTGGGCGGGCTTATCGAGCGTTCCAGTTGTCCTCGGAACTCGGAGTTTCCGAGCAGGAAATGACGTAACGAGCTTGTTTTGCCTTCCAGCTTCCAACTTGGAAAAAATGGATGCCACCAATGTTGTTGAGTAGTAACCGAAAAGAATTATATAACCAAGTGTTCTCCGCGTTAAATAACAGTGACACGCACCCTTCGACAGTTGCTACATACAACCAGAAAAACAAATCAAATGTAAAGATATAAACACCAGGAAAAGTAAAAACCATAAACAGCGGTCAATTTTGTCAATGTTACATTTTTCAACAATGTTACTACTGATAAAAAACAACAAACAACTTACCGGTGATGTTAAATAGCAAAAAGAAAGAAAGAAAACACAACATATAAATGAGAAAAAAATAAAGACGATAACTATACTTCCTGGTAACCTGGGCGCAGCCTTCTTCAAATTTAGGATCTCGGGGTCCTCTGAAAACTATAAGCGTCATTGCGTCATTTCCAGCTAACTTATCTTGGAAAAACGAGTTCCGTGGAACACTGGAGCGCCCCACTGGCACCAGAACAGCATCAGATAAAAACTACAAAGATGGCATCGGCTCTGGAATGGTGCTCGTTTGGCACTTGTGTGCATAACCATTAGATGACTTAGACTTGGGCTTTTCTTTCAGACATGAGCAAATACAGGTACTTGAGTCCTTTATTTTGAAATGGGATGTATTTGCTTCTTCCTCCTCCTCTTTGATGGTGTATGGCAGACTGCATCGTTGACTGATTCCCATAGCAAGGTTCTCCGTTGCTCTGATTGGTCCTAACACTGTCCAATTGCGTACAAATACAGCTTGAAAGACATATATTCTGTCCCCTGGCCGATCTCTGTCTATGGGTTGTGGCCAGATTATATATTAACAGATATACGATGGCTTGCAGGCTAGCTTAAAATAGCCGCGTTAAACAAACCTGGCCTCTCAATCAAAGGCTGTGAATCTTTTATCCACACGTTCCGGGTGGAAACACAGTTGCAAAGCACACACCGTATATTTGTCAAAAGCAATCTCTGCATTTTCCACTCATGCTGGCCTCAGATCTGTTTTCTCCCTCCTCACCACCTCTCCCAGAGAATAGCCGAGCGACCATAGTCCAGCTTCACTTTGTAATTTATACAAGGGCTCAGTCAGCACTGTGGTCAAGCGAGCATGCACGACCTCAACCAAAATAAACATGGCCTATACCGGCCTATACGGCGTGCCTTTTATAGGGACTTTTACAGCATCAAACTGCTTCTCCATTGGAGAGCGATGGAGGTGAGAAGTGATTCATTTGATGAAACTCCGTCATCAGCTCATAACGCAAATAGACAAAAACTGTGTATTCTGGCTTCTTGTTTACTGACTGTGAGGTTCTCAATGATTACAGCTGCCCTTCCCGACTAAACTTCACACAAACACACAGCCAGAAACAATGAAGGCGGCTAAAAGTGGCAACCAGCATTTACCGAGCAAGAGGTTCCTGGCAGGAGTGACTGTATATTTATCAAGTAGTTAGAATTATATGCCGTTACAGCTCACCGCAGTGTGGCTGCGGCGGTCTGAATGCTCTGTAGCGCATGGGTTTACCCCAGAGCAAGGGCAGGATGGAGCGGAAAGTACTGGTCTGGACCATAATAAGAAAAGGCAATCTGAATAACTGTACTTCCCCTTTGAGGTGAGGTATCTAAACATTTCTGGGTTTCTAATCTGCTGCTCATCTCACAATTCAAAGCGTTTTCAGAGCCTGGAATCAAATAAACTATAATCAACCTCTCCTGAAACACAGCTATTTACATTTTTTCCAGCATTTATATTTTTATGTTATGCAACATGTCATCTAAAGCTTGTAAGCTGCTTCAGCTCAGGCTTTCATCTTCTGTTTCCACTTGACATCCTTCCTGTTCTGCAGGTGAAATCCTGCTGTGTTGTGTGGAGCATCACGTGGTAAAACGCCCCCAAAACCCAAAGAGCAGGAATACTCACGGTGATGAGGGTTTGGTAGAGGCAGTAGAAGCCCAGGTACCAGATGAACCTGCCAGTGATGAACGGAGGAACAAACCAGAGGTAGAAGTACGACACCACCAGGAAGGGCGTGCAACCCACCATCCTTTAAAATACACAGTGTGGCCATTTAGAAAAGCGTGGATTCTAATTGATATGACAACAGGAAGTAATGCTTAAAGAGGCTTAGTTTAGACATTTTTGTCATTCTAACAGACACATTTAGTATTATAACAGCAACATTTGATCCTTTGTAGCATCATATCAACTACAATTTGCCATATTTGATATTTTAACACAAATATCTAACACAATTAAACACATTTAGGACCTACTTTTAATCATTTAAGCCTTTTAATAGCCGTATTTTGCAATAGTAAACATTTTAAAAGATGCATCCTGTGACAATTAGCCTTTTAACAGCTACATTTTGCAACATGCTAGCTTTAAACATATTTTTGCAACATTTTCGCATTTTAAAAGCTGCCATTTGCTACATGTTAGCTTTTAGCCCATACTGTATTTTTGCAACATTTTAGCACTATAGGTTAGCATTTTAATGGATATTATGCTACATTTTAGCTACATTTTGTCACAACTTGCAATTTAGATGTTGCCACATTTTAGCATTTTAACATATTAAGCATTTAAACTGTTGCATTTTGTCACATTTAGCAAATCTATTAATTGATCAGTGATAACCCTGCACACTGATAAATGATTTGAGTTAAATATATTTACACGAATTTAGCATCCGCGATTCAGAGACAGGGGCCCAGTCTGAATTTGCATATTAGCATGGACATAATTTTCACTTGAGAAGTGGGGGGGACACGGGGGGGGGGGGGGGGGGGGGGGGATCTTTACAGTATGCTCTAATGGGAAACAGGTTTCAACACAAACGGCTGTTTTCCGCTTGGTCTTAGAGCTCAACCAGTGTCAATTTAATATAGTGTAATATTGTTTTTGGATGGTAAAAAGTGCAGGGGTCAAAACTTGATTTTGGAAAAAGTGGGGGGACATGTCCCCCCTGTCCCCCCCCCCCCCCCCCCCCGAAAAAAAAAATTACGTCCATGCATATTAGCTTAGAGTTTAATTTCAGTCATGTTTAAATTTAGAATTTAAAATTCTGGTGTAACTTCATGTATTTAAACTCAATCCTTAAAGGTGTGATTTAACTATTTATAGGTCTGATTCTAAAAAATTTAATTTAACTAGAAAAATTGGATTCTACATATCTACATCCAACTGGTGCATTTGAAGCTAAATGTGACTAAATGTAGCTGAAAATATTCTTCTTAGTAAGTTTACAATCAGCGCCCCATACGTGAGGCTTCTGGCTGATTACAGTGGGCTGTTCTAACTATGGCAGGAATTTGTCCCGGGAGAGATGAAAAAGCAGGAAAAACATCAAAATATGTCAACCACACAAACAGATGTAGCTTAAACACACACACATGCAGACACACACAAAAATCTTGATGCTGAGGCAAACGCAGCGGTAAGCAGTTCTGCTGTGATGTGCTTTTCTCATAACTTGGAGCAATACAGTGTGTGGGCCATGTATAATTCATAAGTGTACAACTGGTGTGTATCATTATGGTTAAAGCTGCATGTTGCAAAATAAAAATAAATAAAAAAACACAAATGATGGATGGCCATTCGTATGACTTGTCTGCAAACAGCATCACATCGTCCACCCTGAGTGGAGCTTGTCATGTGGTCAAAAGACTGGAACGACTGTGATGCTGGCACATCCCACAGACCTTTGACCTGATCTGCGTCAGGATGGCAAACGTGTAAAAATAAAGCACAAAGAGAAGCCAGTTACAGTCATTTCTGGCATCATCCTGCACATCCACCTCCCTCTGATTGTTCACCCGGACAAAGGCGGCTGACAGCGCTGGTGCTGCAATATTGACCGGTCATGAGAGCTTTGAAAAAGCAGAATGTTCCTGCAAGATGCCCGTGTTTAGGGCGGGGCAACAAAGACACGAGTGAACAAAAATGCTCACGCAATTTACAGACGCAGTCACTCTGAGTGCTTTCCAGAGAACTGTTTTGACAAGAAGCTGGCACATTCAGTTATCTTCTGACCCGATTGTTTGAGTTTGACTGATGTAGTCGTGCATCGGCGCAGAACCGATTCAGACAACGGCTTCTTTTGGCTTTGTAGTCCATACAGAGGGAACTGTGTCTGCTGAAGAGCTCTCGTTTTAAAATCACTGTTAATTTATAACATTGCTGACTAACTGAAAGGGTAATTAGGGTCTTTGAAAGTGTTTTTTTAAAGATGAACATTTAATATCTTACCTGGTTAGATAGAGCTTTGAACAACCTCAGCCTAGAGAAGCTTGGATGATTTGCTCTGACCAGATCGATAAGCTAATGGCTAGTCTGAGCCCAAAGGGGATTTATGCTGAAAGACTTTTTAAAAATATATCATACTGGTTCATTTTTTATACTACCATAAACCTTTTATTAAATGTTTATTATAACAGAAATAAGATGTTCTTATTTTAGCCCTCACTAGACACCAGCGGAAGTGCTACTGCTAGCTATCACTAATATTTATCAAGGGAATAACTATAGAGTTCTAACTAAATTATTGATTATGGAAGATTGATGCTATGTTACATTTTATGGAATAAATGTTCTATATGTAATAAAAATGGAGTTGATTTGAGTATGCTGTAATCCATTGTAGGTGTTGTCTGCTCGGACTAGCTGCTAGCCCGTTTAACCAGTCGGGAATAATCTGTTACTCTAAACTGAAAGTATTCCAGGTAAAACTATAAACTGTTTCCAACATTTCTGTAACAACCATCAAAGGATCTTATCTTACATTTTAATGGTAAACATAAAAATCTCCTTGATTTAAACTTCTGTTGTTGCGTTTCCTATTTTCATACTCGGATAAAACTTTAGCCAATAAAAAGTTGTGAAAATGTTTGTTTTGCCTTCTTTTTCCATTCTAGCAATTATCATCATTACTAGGGATGCAACTTTTTTCAAACCGATACGATACCGATGCTTGGGTCTGTGTACTCTCCGATACCAATTACCGATACCGATACTTCTACCACACAAAAAAATGCTATGAATTGGAATACAGGTTTTATTTTCTTCTCTGCTTCCAACAGGAATAGACTGTGAGGTAGATAAAAAGCAAAATATATGAATAGAAATGATCGCAAAACTGAAACATTAGGTGAACAGAAATGACAAGTTACAGTGAAGCTACTTTCAAGCAACTGCATTGGTGTCAGTTCCTGGTATCGTTTAACTATCGGTATTGGTATCGGCACTGATACCAGTATCAGTATCGGTGCATCCCTAATTATTACTTAATTTACAGTACATTTGTATGTAATAATTGTAAACTTTTTTGAGCATGCTTCAAAAACATATTGGGACTAATCCTGCTGGTCAACAGGGTTAAAACCTAAAGCAGTCAAACCAAAGTTCTCATCCTTTACTACACTCCACAGTCACAAACATCAGCATGACTACAGACCAGGGTGTGTATGAGGAGCTAATAATGTGGCTTTGAACAAATCTAAGGATAAGAACTATCAGTGGTGATTTTTATTTTAAATAATTCAAACCTCTCCACTATTATTTCCCCTTGCAATCTTCCTCAAACACATGCAATTTTGAAAAGTGGCTCCCAAGCTTTTCTTGCAGTTACTTTCATTGCAGTCACAAATAATAAACACAACCCGTACCCCAAGGGACGTTTTGGGTCTAAAGACTCCATCCCTAAGATCTCATGGTAAAGATACAAATCACTCAGCGTCTGCCTGTGGACATGTCAGCTTCCTGCTGAATGAACAAACGGGACTTTCCAAATAGGATCAAAATTGAGGGAGTGTCTCACTCTGTCATGAGAAATAATGTTTAGACCACACACACATGCACGCACGCACACACACACACACACACACACACACACCAGAACACACACATCAACACTCTCCCGCGAGTAATCAAAGCTGATTCACCATCAGCATCTGTCTGCAACTGAGTGTGTGGCAGGCTGTGGATTTGGTTGTTGTCCAAATCTATGATTTGGTGACAGAAGAAAAGTACCACACACACACACACACACACACACACACACACACACACACACACACACACACACACACACACACACACACACACACGTGCTTAGCAGCTTAAAAATATCTTTTTTGAGTTAGGGATTTCCAGAAATGCAGATTAAATTGCCAAATAATCCACATTGTCACTCAAAATTTTAAATTCAAAGCTATGAGATGCTGAGGGAGTTATTGCTGTCAGAAAATGTACAAAGTTGTGTGTGTGTGTGTGTGTGTGTGTGTGTGTGTGTGTGTGTGTGTGTGTGTGTGTGTGTGTGTGTGTGTGTGTGTGTGTGTGTGTGTGTGTGTGTGTGTGTGTGTGCATGTGCGTGCGTGTGTGTGTGTGTGTGTGTGTGCATGTGCGTGCGTGCGTGCGTGCGTGCGTATATGTGTGTCATAAACTGCATTTGAGGACATCACAGAATAATTTATGTACACTGATTAGTTTGGCATCAAAAGTGAAAAACAGGCCACGCCCTAAAGGAAAACGACCCGTCAGAAACAACAAAAGTGGTTTATTTGATCCTCAGTGGAATCTGCAGAGTCTGAGAACTGCCTCAAAACTGGGACGTGTTGCCTGTTTTTGTTGGGATCGTGCACAAACACCAGCATCATGCTGCAACCATAATTACTTGTGAGTGCGAGGGATCAAAACTAGACAAGTTATTTTGACGGGTTTGCCTGTGTGTACGTATGGATGTGTGTGTGTGTGGGGGGGGGGTACCACAAAGGAAAGTAGGAAGTTGGTTCGTAAACATATGAATAAACAGTTATGATTTGCTTTTGGAAAACTTTCATAAATGACTTTCAGGACATTGGAAAACTCTAGCTTTACCTGAATTTTATTTTTATTTATAGATGGTTCGTCCCATTTTAGGGACTCGTGTGGCATTTGTAGCTGGGTGGTAAACACACTTCGTAACATTCACCTCTGTTTTTATTACTTTTGTCATCATAAAAATCTCTGAGACTAGAAAATTTACCAGGGCATGAGTCGGCCAATCTTGGTCCATTTGCTCTTTGTCATGAAGAATCCGATTATAGGATCTGTCACGGCGCCCCAGACTTTACCTGTGAACAGTACCACGGAGGCCTGGAAGGCACTGATCTGCATAGTAGAAGAGAAAGTGAAAAACTCTTTATTCACATTAAACCAACATTAAAGAGTTCACATTAAGCTATTGCTTTTAAACTGGTTTCAGTGGTTCTTGAGCCAGAAACTTGAGAAACTGCACATTGCACAGCACTCTGCTGCCCTCTGCTGACTAGAAACTGCACTGTGGTTCGGGTGAGAACACAAGTGAAATGCCTCTGATTGCTTTACGCCAATAAACTGTGCCGGTAGCTCATAAAAGCTAGCAGTTAGCTTTATCCGTTCACTGGCCATCAACAAAAAGCACAAGAAGAAGAATTTAGCTTTTATTTTTGGCATGATGGCACATCCAGGAAGTAAAGGGTAATGCCTTTGAAGGTGAAGCAAAGAGCTAAAACCAGAGTGAACATCGGCACAGCCTACTCTAGTTTGAGGAAGCTAAAGGAGGCTACAATTACATGGACTGCTGGTGACCTGGCTTTGTTGCTACTGGACTTGTAAGTAATAATATTTTTTGTCCAACTCGTTGTTACTGCTAGCTACTGCAGACTGCGACGGGGTTGTTTAAAACTGATGTAATTCCACTTTCAACCATGTAGGAGGGATAGCAGAAAACGTATCAAGTGTTGCTTTAAGGAACCAAAAACCTGTGGTGTTTCTCAATGCCAAGGAACATTGCCTTGATGTCTTGGCCCCGCCCCAGTTTCCTAGGAAATACGTCACCAGAAACCTTCAAGGCGTGTTCCAATGTTCTACTGAGGCATCTGTCCTCCGTTTGTTAGCCATTTAGCTAGCTGAGCAAGGATACACTGGAGGTATCTTGTGGCCTAGCCTTGGTCAAAAGTTTACCAGAATACACCGTGGTATTTTCAAAAGGATGGCGGATCAGAAGCCGGCAGCTGCTTCAAGGCAAATTTCAAGTTTAAATGTAAGTCATCTTAGCTATCGGGCTGACATCTGAAATGTTTTTTTTTAAATCTAAAGCAGTTATCTATGGTTGGTTAGTTGTTTAGTAGTTGCATCTTTGGTGGCTAACAGGTAGTAACTCACTTACATATTTAATTTAACAAATATATACACAATTCTAAAAGGCTCATTACATATTTATATTGAAATGTATACGTATAAAATATAACGTTATCTCCCGTGTCAAGTGATGCAAGTCTGTTCCATTTAACCATTTTCTTTGGCCAAGGAAGGGCAGAGTCCTCGTAAGCAAGGCGCCTTGGCATTGAGAAACGCCCACACTCTTTTCTTGTCTTTTACCTGAGCAACATCGAGCAAGTAGATTTGCAGGAAGAAGGCCGTGGCGCTGCTAGCCACCTCCTTGGGAGCACCTCCGATAGCGAAACATAGTTTGCTGCAGATGGACAACTTCTGGCTTAGGTTGATCTGTGAGGAAAAACATTGATTTTATCCAATTTAATTCAAAGAAATGTTGGGATAATTCAAAAAAAACTTCAGACGTTTAAAAACTAATTATACAAGTTCAAAATAATTAAAAGCTGCATCAATGTGCACATTGACCCGTCGTCCGAACATGACCAGACGTGTCCTCCTCAATCTAGCTGTATAAACTGGAGGTTCTTGCATCACAATTGGGTTATAGGGATCCATTAACAGCTGTTTTATTCCGGAATGTCATAGTGTGGCATGGACGTAATTTTTTTTTTTGGGGGGGGGGGATGTCCCCCCCACTTTTTCCAAAGTCAAGTTTTGACTCCTGCACTGTTTACCATCCAAAATCAATATTACGCTATATTAAATTGACACTGGTTGAGCTCTAGGACCAAGCGGAAAACAACTGTTTGTGTTGAAACCTGTTTCCCATTAGTAAAGATACCCACCCCCCACCCCACACTTCTAAAGTGAAAATTACGTCCATGTAGAGTGGCCAAAACTGGCCTCAGTCACTTACTCCATTACACCTGTAAGAAAGGCTCCAGTTTCTGGTGCGTTTTGCCTCATTTACTAACAAAATCTGCTTATTTCAGCCCTTGTCAATTTGTTAGAGAGCAGGATAAAATAACAATGATAGGACAGCAAAAGTCAATCATTTCTGACCACAACAAAACCATAAAGTCATCACTTTCGATAAATTTAATTAAAATTCCAGGAACCCATTTTGTCGGCTGATTCATTAACATCTGAAACTGGATTTGCCTGTCTTATTTCTACAAAGCTGGTATTTTTTTTTTATTAAACTTGTACCAAGTTTAATCACGTACGTAGCAATCAGAGCCTAAACCTGGATAAAAGAAAATGAAAATTTAAATCAAATGAAGGAGGTAAAGATATAATGTCAAGTTAAAGCAGAACTAAAGTTTCTTGAATGGAAATCTTTCTATTTTTGTTTTTGCACTGAAATCATTTGCAAGTTAAAAACAAAGTTAGCAATTTGCATTAATAAAAATGGCAAAAATGCAGGTTTTTTATTCTCATTTTAATCAAATAGCTCATGTCATAAATAGAAATTTTAAAAATGATGTTTCAACACGCTATTATGTTGTGATAATGTTCATTTTACACCACATCGTTTGTTCAAACAAGCACAAACTAATGTTTGTCATCCTGTAATGACAGGAAGTGACTTAAAGCAGGGAAATGTTTTATCATTTACATCCAAAAGCTCATGTTGTAACCCTAACCCTAACATTCAGTCATTCCCTGACATGAAAATCGCTTTGTAAAAGTGCACAAACCGATCTGAAGGTATGCAGACTGGGATAACACTGCTGGTGCCTCCCAGGCACTGGAAGGAACATCCACAACGGTCACTTAAAATTGTGAAACTGCTAGTAATAATACACACAAACGTGAGTGTTTTGGGGTCATGGTCCTGTTGGAGTACCCATGACCTTTGGTTGAGATCGAGCTTTCTAACACTGGGCAGCACATTTTTCTCCAAAATGTATCGAGATCTTGTTGGACCCTGAAAAGATTCAAGACTCCCTGGTCCAGATGCAGCAAAGCACGAGCCAAGCCTTCTCCATGTTCCTAATTCATGTAATCGATGTCATTTGATTGGACTTGTCTCATCTGTCCATGTGACTTTTTCTCAGAAGTTCCTTTTAATTGTCATTTTAGTTTGTCATCAAGTTTTCGTCTTTCAGCGACCTCCAGGTAGGTTGTCTACAATCCTGAATAACACGCCCAGTTCTAGTCAGAGGAGTATCAAGCTGCTATGGAGATGCAACCTAGTGAAATAGACCAAATTCTTGCTTTGCAAATTTTGGTCTAGGAACGCTCCCTTGGGACCTCCGCAGCCCCTTGCAGCATTCTGGCTGGCCAATCACAGCTCTCTGTCGGAGTTTCAAACTGATAGAGCGCTGTGATTAGAAGAAGAAGAAAGTATCATTTCTATAGCGCCTCTCAAGATAAAAATCACGAGGCGCTTAATGGTGGTCCAGTCACAGCACTCTATCTCCTTTGTGGGTGTCACAAAATAGGTTGGAGGAGGAGGAGGACCCAAAATGCAGAACGAGATGAATTAGGCAGAGGTGGAAGATAAAATAAAAATCCTTTATTTTGGAGGAATCCTCAAAGGCAGGGAGCAAAAACACCAAAAATCCAAAACAAACGCTCGAGAACTAGAAACACTCGAAACCAGAGAGGAGAACGAGACGAGACGGACAGGGAACAATGGACCAACACAACATAGAGACACAGACAGGGTTTTATACACTGGGGAAGACGAGAGGAAGATGAATTGCAGGTGTGTGGGGAGAGAGAGACCAGGTGAACACAATTACTAATTAGGGAGGAAACAAACGTGACCTAAGAATAAAAACTAAAGACAAGAAGAGCAGGAACATAACTAATAATCTAAGGAGGGGGAAAAACCTCAAACATTGATGGGAAAAGACACACTAGAGAGACTAATGAACAGCTGTAACTAAGGAAAATGATCTAAGAATAAAACCTAAAGACCTGAAGGGCAGCAAACATAACTAATATTCTAGGGGGGAAGCTGAAATGAGAGGAAAACACTACAGAAAGAAAAACCACAGGGGCATGACTAAAAGGGGGCCAAGGGAGCACAGGACCTGGGAGGGGGAAGCCTGTGGAGGGAAACCAAGAGGGCTGAAGATCTGGGGGCAAATGGGGAAACCCAGGAGACACAAGAGGAAGACAAAGACAAGGACATATGAGGGCGCTAGGAGACATAAAAGGAGAACCTAGAGAGGGATGGAGAACATAAGGAGACACATGAGGGGAGACGCAGACTGAGACCATGACAGTGGGCCAACTAAATAATATTTTTATTTAGTCTGGCTTGCGAGGCTAATAGAGACGGTCTTCTAAACTTTACCTTTCTAATCTTCTGAGACAGCCCTGTCTGTAGCTTTCAGTGGTCCATGTTGCCAAACACTGACTACTGTGCAATCCTTCAAACAAGAAGACTAGTTATCAAATTAAAGACACACTTGATGCAGATTACGAGATACACCTTAGTTAACTTGTCTGTGCTCACATTGTATGACTTTTCTAGGGGTACCATAATTTTCGTCCAAGCTATTCTTTAGGCCTCGTTCACATGGCAGGATTTTAAGTTGAGAGACCACACGTGTTGCTAAAAGGTCACGGATATACCAGCTTTAGTCCCGCAACATGTGGTACAAAAACTACACGCTACTTAAAAACCAATTTCACACACAAACATTCCCGGTGAGACGGAAAACCCGGCAAAGCCTCACGAGATCAAACATGACTTTGGAGAAAACAAACAAGGAGAAGAACGCGTGTGCAGCATTCTTCTGTCACCTCACTTTCTGACTGGCTACACGTAACATTCAACAGAATCCTCTGGGATTAATAAAGTATCTCTGATTTGATTTGATTTGATGCTCATTAGGTCCTCGAAATGGGACCAAGAAAATCCAACATGTTTTGATGACCCCAATTTATGATCGTAGTGGTCCTGACGTCCTTCAAAGTACATCACATCGCTCTTAACACACCACACACAGCAGGAATGTCTGATAAGATTATCTTTAGAGCTGTTACAGTAATCAGGTGCATCCTTAAGATTATCAGAAGGGATTGGGTCAAAAACCTTGCTTTGTGAACCAGGCCTTAGTTTTTAAATTATTCTGTTGAACCATAACTGAAATATAATGACTGATTTTCATTATTTGATTTTTAATACATTTAAAATATTATTATTATTATTATTGTCGGTTTAAAGTTATTTTCAGTGAGCATTGGTTGTTTTCCTCCTTTAGCAGAAGGGTAGACAAACAATGTTGTTTGTAAATTGCTAATTTGGTCCTGCTAGTGGGCAGGTTTTCTGTAGCAGGACAGATGTTCATTGATGAATGTGGGACTGTGTGTTGAGGTAGAGCCCCTGCTGGCTGTTAGTGGTGTGGTGTTTGGTGCAGACACTGAGGCTTACGAAGGAGCCAGAGAAACCCACCGAACCCTCTATGGTTCTGTTTCCTCCCCGACTCTCTGCTAAAGCCATTTAGGATCTGTGTGTTTGTGCACCACGGGCCAGCTTTCATCTCCAGATTAGAATAAAGTGAGACACCCACAGTCTGAGGAGCCCAGTATTTACAACTGTCTCAGAAGTCATGGGCACGTATCAGCCTCTGTCTTAACCTTTGGTGTCACACAGAGAAAATAGCACCGCTCCACATCCAGCGGCTGAACCCGGCTGACAGCTTCTCTCCCGAGAGCAAAATGAAAGAAGGAAATCACCAAAGCAACCACAACCACGACCGGCGCACTGTTATTATCCAGCTCAGGTTTTCTCTTCCTCCTTCTCTCTCCCCATCAAAACACGGAGGGGTTGGAAAACGACAGTTACCAGGAGGAAGGGGAGTGTAATTATTCAATCGCAAGACAAGCGGGTCAGAGGTAAGTAAAGGCTGCACGGCGGTTCCGACTTCAAAACTCTCCTCTTCTTCTTCTACTCTCACTGCAATTATCCTTAATTGGAGAGGGGGGAAGGGGGAAAAATCAAAGTCTTTGGTGTCTGGAGAGAGCTGCTTAACTGATGATGTGCAAAAATACTCTCCTTGCCTGTCTCTGAACACATTTTCTTTCCCACCAAAAAGCTTCAATCTCTCATTACAGAGCTCTCATCATCATCATCATCAAAAAGCATAAACAGGATATCTGCATTTGTCTGAATGCACAAACAAAACCTCGTGCACACAGATATGGAACAAATCAGCAAACAGGAACAGAAGCATAGCTCAGTTCAGTCAAGCGAAGGACACGGTCGGATAAAACTAATCTCCAGGGTTGATTAAACTTCAGGCTTTGAAAGAAGAAGCTGCCTTAATTACAGCTGAGGATAATTAAAGAAAGTAGGAGAAAAAGTATTTAGCCAATCAAACGACAGCGATTTGGTAAAAAATGTTCCTGAGGATTCTAATTATAAGGCTCATACCACATACTCCACATTTAAGAGTCAACAAGTGGCATCAAGCTTTCTGTTCAGATTATGAGGAGCTCTGCTGTAAAATGTCACCAGAGAATTTGTTCCTTCTGATAAAACAGCTTCACGCGCATCAGTAGCAGGAGGAGGAATCATTTTGGAAAAATCAGGACATTTTCTTCCAAGCTGAATTCGGACAGCAATTTTATTATTTATGAAATTAAAATAAAAGAGAAATCGTGCATCTAATGAATAATGTCTTTGGTCTCGCTGAACCGCCACACTTTTGCACTTCCCTGGGTCCTCCATTCATAACGCGCTTGCGTATCTAGCAACAGAATACCACTGGTGTGTGAGGTTTGTGGCTCAAAAATATCAGAGAAGGAGAAACAGCCGGCTGCTACCACTTCAACTTTGGGACAAACTACCAGCGTCCTAAAAAGAAAAACACCATTTGAAGTCACGGACAACAAAAGACGTTTAAACCTAGAAAATGGTGACTGGTGTTTAGCGCTATCTTGATTCATCCAGCATTGCGGGTTTCTGGTTGCGACAGAATCGTCTCAGGGATGATACCCAAGTAAAAGGGTGAGTGTTCCACGACCGTGATTGCATTCAAAATCTAGCTTATTTACAGATTTGCCATAACAGCTTTAGATTAGGTTAAAAGTTAAGTTAAGTTAAGTTAAGTTAAGTTAAGTTAAGTTAAGTTACGTTACGTTACGTTACGTTACGTTACGTTACGTTACGTTACGTTACGTTACGTTACGTTAAGTTAAGTTAAGTTAAGTTAAGTTACGTTAAGTTAAGTTAAGTTAAGTTAAGTTAAGTTAAGTTAAGTTAAGTTACGTTACGTTACGTTACGTTACGTTACGTTACGTTACGTTACGTTACGTTACGTTAAGTTAAGTTAAGTTAAGTTAGAGAACAACTTTTCTGTAAGTTTTGTCAACATGCGGTCAGCTGGACTCATACATGTGATGACCGCTTAAAGTTAAAGACAGAGAAGCAGCAAGCTAGCAGTGGCAAAGCATGCATGCTAACTCTTGAAATTATTTTATATTTATACTGAAATAAACATTATTGGGTCATCTTGTGTCTTGTTTGTAAATACATCAATATTTTTAAAATCTGGAGATTTTGTCCAGGTACAATGAAGACTAGTTTTGGTTTTCATTTTAACATGATTGACTACTGTTAAAATAAGTGTTCTGGATCAAAATTACGTCTATAATAATATGGATGTGAGAAAATATCGATACACTGAAATGTCATGATATTTCGTGTTTTGATACTGAATCAAAATTTGAAAGCAGTTTATTAACTTTTTGTTGAGAATTTAATATTTTTATTTTGTTGAGAATTTTTATTCAGAATTTAATACTTTTTTTATTTTATTGAAAATTTTTTTGAGAATTTAATTTATTTTTATTTATTTGAGACTTTTTATTGAGAATTAAACAATTTTTTTATTTTATTGAGAATTTTTATTGAGACTTTACATGCAAACATTTACTGTATTTCTTTTGTATGTTGCAATTCAAACACCGACATCTAGGTGTCAGCAGTTTTCACTGCCTTCATTCTGACGAAATCTTGCAATAACACTGGGTGTGTCTGATTTTTCTAATTTAATTCAGTCTCAAATATAATCTGGCTTTTAGTATTGTAATACATCACATCTTCACCCCTGCATTGTGATATATATCGTATCGCCAGACACTGGTCAGTACACACCTCTAATAAAACATAATCTTGGTTTATGTTTATTGTATAGTTCCTCAGTTGGAATAAAAATGGAATAAAGAGAAATCTTACATGAAATTTGTAAAACCAGTTGGTTGTGTCTACCACTAGGGGACAGTATAGGTTAGGAGAGGAGAATAAGAAGTGATTCAGTAAGAGAGTTAAGGCCTAGTCCACACGTAGCCGGGTTTTTTTTTTAAAAACGAATATCCACCCCTCCAAAAACTTGCATCCACACCACCTCGTTTTAAAAAAACTGTCCACACGTACCCGGATAAATACGTTGTTAAGGACATGCCAGACCTGTAGGCGGCAGTACTTCCCCCGTTCTTAACCTCGTCCTTCGTCTGTGGTCTTCCGCAAGGAGCAGTAATTCCGCTTGCAAAAACAAACAAGCAAAAAGCGCTTGGACCATTGATAAAGCGAGCGCAGCTCTGAGTACATCCATGCTGTCGGCTAGTGTAAACACAGGTCGCACACGGGATGTCAGCATTTTTTTGTCGCGGAAAGTGACGTTGCGGACCTTAGAACTCCGGTTTTGTCTGTCCACACGCAGACACCCAAAACGGAGAAAACGCAGATCTTCACTTTGGCCGGAGTTTTTAAAAAGATCCGTTTTTGTGTGGATGACAGGCCAAAACGTAGAAAAATATCTACGTTCTGGCAGATCCCCGGCTACGTGTGGACAGGGCCTAAGATGGATGCCTGATATTGCTACATGTGACGCAGGTTCGAATAAACTGAAAATTAATTCTTGCCTACATGTGATACAACAGCCAAGTTGTCTTTATTGCTGGAAAGGAATTAATGAAAAACCACTACTGATGTTTGTGTCCCTCCTACATCCAAGAATGCTACAGAAACCTGGCTACAGAAGGGCATTTGGTTCAACCATGCTTTTGCTGGGACGTATTGAGGTAAACAAACCGCTCTGGAGTTCTTTTGGAACAGCAACTGTGATTAGTGTGACATCAATCAATAAAGAGTGATTACACCTGCGTTAACAAACTGCAGCAAGGCTTGAAATGGCACAGGGTTCGATTTAAACTGACTAAACACAGCAGACCAAAGGAAATGTGTTAGGGAGTCTGTTAAAAGGCAAACTATGATGTTATACCCAACACTAACCAAGCTTTCTCCAATTACACTGAAATCTTTCAAAACAATAAGTGAAACAAATGTAACCAAAGAAAAAATGTGTAAAGAAATAACTTTAAATTTATTCATGCACTGTGAGACAAACACTCTTGAAAACATCCTATCCTTGGCAGAACATCACCAGGACCTTTCTGTTTATCTTAATAAAGATTAAAAAGGAAAAGATTAAAACACCTATGAAAGTATGTAGCAGATGATGATTCCTTCAGACTTTAACTCTACATTTAGCCTAATTTTTGCTACTACGTATGTTTGTGTGTGAAGGATGCCGGAGAGAATTATTTTTGATTGACGCTCAAATCAATAATTATGTCATTTTTGAGGAAACCAACGTCAAAGTGATTCATTTTGAAAGAATTAGACTGAAACTCTCACTGACTGCGGGATATTTCATTTGGCAGAAAGGACAGTTGCAGAACTGGTTACGTTATGTGACGTAATGTTATTTCACAGAAAGCCCAAGCATGCAGACGAGTGACTAGCTGTTGAATCGTCACATGTGACACACTTTCTGCAGCGATAAAGAGACGATGCATCACATTTAGGCCTGGCTGGCTGTCTGAGCCACCTTTCATTTCGTTCACTCTGAAGGAACAACGATAAAACACATTAACGTGCAACTTTAAGTAAAGTGTAAAATTAACGGGAAGTCCACTTCTGTTGTCTTGTTTCTGCTGATAAAGCCAGGATCTATACACAAAAGCGATTAGCCTGCAGGTTTTCCAATAAATCAGAATGGCTAAGTTGAACACAGTCAGCTTCCAGGCACTGATTTCACTATCTGAGAAATTACAACCCAATGGAAAACAATAAAACTCATTAGGAACAGATGGGCTTTGGGTCCCTGCACTTTCATTCTGATCAAGTCACTCATAAGCAAATATAAGCCTCAAAAACAGCAGCTGGGGGGGTAAAACAAACCCATTAACCCTATGCAGCACACAGGATGTTAGTTACAGTGTGAAAAGATAACTTAATCAGAAACAAAAGATCTTACCTGTGGAGAGGTTTTGTGGAACAGTGGCTCACTGGACTTGATGAGTTTGCCCCCAGGCCCCTGCACTCCCCTGTCCCCTTTGGTCATGGCTGAGAGGCTGTGCGGGAGGCGGCAGCTGTACTTCTGCGACTGCATGTGTGAGGGAGCGATAAAGTGTGTGTGACTGTGACTCCTGCTGTGTGACAGAGTGGCCTGCCACTGGGAGGTGCGTGGCGGTGGCAGTGGAGGCGGAGGAGGCTGGAACTGGAAGTGGCTGAGGCTCCGGATGTGTGTGCTGCACGGGGTGTGAGCGACAGCTCTGGAGGCAGGGAGCAACTCCTGCCCCCCTGTGACAACTCTGCCTCTTTCTGTCGCCATTCACGTGCTGTTGTGCTCTGGAATGAAGCCAGGAGAGGTGTCAAGCCATCACACACACACACACACACACGCACACACACACACACACACACACTGAGGAGAGGCGGTTACCTGCTGTCAAAAGGAAGAATGCACTGAAGCAACCACAGGAATGCAAGCGTGTACACACACATGTATGAGAAAGCTCTCTGGCTGATGGAATCTGAATCTAGTTTGCTACTAAAACACGAACGCACGTGCACGTTTTAAGCAGCCTTTAAAGATAAAAACAGACAGTAAATAAGATCATTCTTTCTATTTGACACACTGCTCTGAAATCAGACAACGTCCCGAGCTGGAGTGCATCCATCCTCTCTCTCTCTCTGTGTGTGTGTGTGTGAGTGTGTGTGCGCGCGCGGCTGACAACGGGACCGAGGAGTGTGAAACCCAGCAGCGACATCTTACCTCGGAGTGATGGGAAGCAGCCGCCGCTGTCAGTCTGATCTGGGCTCAGCGAGACGGGCGGGATGAGCAGGAGACTGCGGAGGATGGAGATGGTCCTCTCCTGCCTTCAGCAGCCAGCGGTGACTGAGCTGCGCCCTGCAGCGGCCGCGTACGGCACGTGCGTGAGCGCGCGCGAGGGGATTATGGAGATGTTGTGACGACGGAAATAATCTCGATTTAGCTATAATTTTCGGGACGGCGGCAAAAACGATGCTCCGTTCGTTTTTCTCTAACCTCGTAGACAGTCAGAACTTTTATTTTTGCCTTTGTTTTAAACAAAATAACAAATCAAATTTCACCCAACAGCATAACTTGACCTGGTTGTGGTAGTGACATAATGTTCAAAAGGGTGATATTCCATCTTCATATTTATTTCCATACTAAATTTGCAGACTTGCTATCATTAATTGGATGAATCATTTACTTCAAAGACTAATTTTAAGCACTTTCCCAGCAGTAGCCTAAAGCGCTCTCACAAACTCTCGTGAGATCTCGTGTGATTTTTTTTTGTTTGCTACTGTTAGCTGTGGTGACCATCTTGAATTGACTTCAAAACAGAAGTAAAATAATGTTTTTAGCCATTCAGCGAGCTGAGAAAGCTGTAAATGATTGGTGCTGTACCATATGTAAACATTCTATTTTACTTTTTGATTAGATTTTCTACAGTTTTTTGTTTACAATTGTATTGAGCTTAATTCAATGGATGAGATGGGCACAAATAATGGCTTCAGCTCATTCCAACTCCTATTACACAAATTTTTTGTTCAATGAGTCAAACATTAATGGGCTTGATACAAGGAAGGCGACAAACGACCGCGATCAGCTAAATTTGTTGCTGTCGCTTTTATTACCTGACACACGAGAGGCGATCCGCGGCAGCGGCCAGCGGCAAAGCCGTCTATACGCGTTCTGTTCCATGGCGAAATCGAAACTTACGTTGTTTTGTTTGGCTGTGTCAGGTTGGAGGGAATTAAGGTTATTTAAGCGGTTTAAAGTTAATAAAGCGGTAGATATGATGTTTCACAAGGTGCTGCTAGAGTTCTGTGAAATCTTACTTGTGATTTTACTTTATAAAACATAATAATAATCAACTTCTCCTCCATGTTTGCTCGGAGATGTACGGAGCATCCTGTCCGCTCATTGGTCAGTGAATGAAACCTCCGCTGATTGGTCCTCGTCCGAGCGACAGCGATGAAAAGTTGAAAATGTTTCAACTTTCTGGGATCGCGTCGCTGGGTCGCCTGTGCACGACACGTGCACGAGCGCAAAATTTCACACGCACGTTTTTCGCGTTTCGCTTGGTAGGAGGGAGACCCGCGATTATCGCTTTGTCGCGCATGTCTCATTGAAAATGAATGGAGGAGAGGCGACGTCACCTCCCGTGTGTCGAGCCCATAAATCATTTGTTCATTCAAAGTGATTAAATGATCTGTTTTCTGCACGTTGGAATAACTTGACAGGATTATTCCAGACAACAGAACAGCAGGGATAAATGGCTATTTTATATCTAAAACACCTTCCTGATCTTTTCAGGTTTAGTGGTTTCACACGATGAGTGAGTGGAATGTTAAATATACATGTTGTCACTTTAATTATAGATTTACTGTACGTGTTATTGTCTAAACTCTCATCGTGAAAACCTCTGGAGTCATTTTCATATTCAATGAGAAATGGTTTTGCTTGAAAACAAAACAAAGCCTTTTAAAATTCAGTTTGGAGAAGGAAACCCAAATTTTCTGTGATTTAAGACTTCAGAAGCGTTTGCATCATCTAACAGGACTTTCACGGCAAACATCTCATCAGAGCGTGACAGGAAACATGTCACGAATGCTTCAGCTACTGAATCCAAACCTCTACATAAATTCCAAGTATGCAAACCCTTTAACCAAAATCACATTGCTGACGACAACAAAGCCACCTCTGCAGAAAGGCCAGGCGCGTGACCTGCACCAGAGCAGGCATGGCTGTGATAAAGGAATGTGTAAAACGAAAGCATGGCTGCCACACGGGCAAAAGGCTCGTTCTGGGAGGAAATATGGAAATTAAAGGGAACATAATTTCCTGCTTGCTCATTAAATATGCAGCAGAAAGGAAATGTGTGAATCTGACCCCCTCAACACAAACAGGAAACAAACATTGTTTCTTTCTGTTCTTTCTCTGACCTTCACCATCCTGTAGAAGTCAGCTCATCCTCCAACCCCCTCCTCCTCTTCCTCCCTAACCACCCCGCTTTAAATATTTGAAGATGGATATCTGGATAATGGCGTTTGCATTCCTCATCAGCAGAGGATGCTTTGAGACAGAAAAAAGTAAAAGTGCACACGCGCTATTATCTAAAAATCCAACACGAAAAACAGAAAATTACGTTTTTGTTATTGTTCCTTCATCAAGAATCTGTTTGAAAGAAAAACATCAGCTGTTACTTATTAACCCTGCAGACATTTCTAAGTAAAGAACCTCTCCACTTAAACCAGGCTATTATGACTAAAGCATGAAAAATTCATAGTATTAACCCTTTCATGCACAGCGGTCACTACAGCGGACAGCTACAATATAGAAAAGACTCACTTGGAAACACAAACCAGCTTTAGCTAACAGACCTGTAACATTCAATGAAAAATGATGGCGGTCCGCCAGTTACCACCGTCCAGTTTGACCCAGCTGGACCGGTTCTGTAAAACAAGAGCGAGGACAAATATTGTTTAATCCAGACGTGTAAAACTGATGAGATTGACTCGAGGTTGTTGTAAAAGCAAACGGTTACACAGAATGTCACCATGGGGGTGGGCGTCCTTTATTAATTATCCAAGTATCTCATTTTTATTTTGGAAATATTTCTGAGCTGTAATTGTGATTTTTTTCTTTCAGTTGGATGTCATTGGTTGCATTGGGTAACACACATTGTGTTTGTGTTTTTATTTAAGGATGTAGAGGAAACAAAGTGATTCTTCTCTGTATTCAAGGCTGTTTTCCTGTTTGTGCGAGGGTGATGATGATGATGATGATGATGTACCTGCAAATAAAACTGTCTACTTCTAAACAGATCCATTTGGTTGGATCTTCTCAAAATGTCCCAGCATTGCTAGAATCCACACATATTGCTATTTTTCCCTGCGTACAGCCTCACGGTGCTGGACTTTGAGCGAAGCCCTCCTCGCATCCTGAGCTTTCTTGTCTTGATATTAGAGGGTTAGCTTAGCTTCATGTTCTTTAGAGCCCAAGCCCTTTTAAAAAACACGAATAAAAACATCAAAATTTAGAAAAAAATTCAAATTAAAGTAAAGAAGTCAAATGATTTTTGATATGTGTATGCATGGGATGTCACTTGAGGCTGTCAAACTTAAGAATATAACTCAAGAAGCAATTTTGCAGATGCTTGAAATGAGCTGTGACAGCAGTGTCACCATGGGTCCTCAAGGGTTAAAACTACAAAGAAGAAAGCAAAATGGTATTTCTGACATTCTACTAAGTATGAAATAAGAAATTCCAGTTAAATGAGTTTAAAATAAGATTGGAGAACATGCAACAGACCAACGACACCATCCTGAACACAGTACAGCACGGTGGTGGCAGCACAATGCTCTGGGATTTTCCCACTTCAGGAAATAGGTTTAAATCAAAATAAATGTCTGGTTATAAAGTTTTTGCAGAAACCTTTTTTTAATTCTATAGAACTGAATCTGTAAAGGGGGCTGTGCAGTGGTGCAGTGGTTAGAGCTGTTGCCTTGCAGCATGAAGGTCCTGGGTTCGCTTACCGGCCTCGGATATTTCTGCATGGAGTTTGCATGTTCTCCCTGTGCATGCGTGGGTTCCCTCCGGGTGCTCCGGCCTCCTCCCACAGTCCAAAAACATGACTGTTAGGTTAACTGGTCTGTCTAAATTGTCCCTAGGTGTGTGTGTGTGCATGATTGTTTGTCCTGTGTGTCTCTGTGTTGCCCTGCGATGGACTGGCTTTCTGTCCAGGGTGTACCCCACCTACCTGCTGGAGATAGGCACCAGCCCCCCCCAGCGACCCCACGTGGCCCAAGCGGGTTCAGAAGATGGATGGATGAATCTGTAAAGTTGGTCACCTTTGATCAAATATCATTATTATTAGTTATCTGTGAGGAAAACTGACTTTTATAATTATTTTCCAAAGTTGGGATTTTAAAAACTCTATTTTGGACTCCTTGGGGATGTGAAATGCAGTCCTGTGAAAGGGTATTTCTGCATTGTTGTCAGAAAAATAAAGATGGATACACTTTTTCTTAAATGGAAACAAATCCATATCAGTTCACAACCAGTCCTTATGGATCCCAAAGATGTGTTACTGATGAAAATCCTTAGTCTGACTTTAATGCAGCGATGCACCATCAGACCACACTAAATATAGTGTTAATGCTTTAAATTAAAAATAAATCTAAAAGCAAACCCAAATCAAACGAGCAAAACAGATTTGGGTGCAAATTACAGCAAATATGTGCTGAATAAGTGCTTAACTTTGGAGGTTTGTTAATGTTCTAGTTATATTTGAGGTTGTAATTTAATAGAATAGTAAAAACCAGCTTTCATTAGCAAATTTAACTCCAAATTAAAAGGAATTATTCAGACGTAACATTTTTATCCCATAAAAAGCTCAAATATAATCAGAGTCGACCTAAAGGCTGTTCTGTGGTCGGATGCTGATAAATCTCCCTTCACTGGTTTTTTGGCTCTTCTGAAGAGCTCCAAAGTTGTTGTTTTTTGGGGAAAACAAAACAAAAATGTACACATTTTAAAAGATTTTATTGTGTTACACAATGACTCGTGACGTCCATTTTAACGATTCGGTCAAACAACAGAACTTTTATAAACGACTCCTTTAAAAACAAACAAAAAATAAAACAAATGCAAAAAATAAATCACTCTAGAAACCCAAAAAACATCCTTAAAAGCAGGCAGACATAATACGGTAAGATAAAAACAATACGTGGTCGATAAACTGTAAACGTAAACCTATCAAACCCTTATTTAAACTGCAAACAGTGCATAAAGTAGTAGTCAGAGTTTGGGAAGACTTAGCTTATCATAGTTGCATTGTGGGTAGGGGGGGGGGGGGGGGGGAGACACTTGTTTGTCCTGTTCGAACATTCTGGGGTTTGGAGATCATCTTTGTCCTCCAGGAGAACACGACAGCATCCTCTCAGCAGCACTTAGTGACAGATCTGGTGAGTTAGCCTGCAGCTAATCACCCACAAACACCGTACGGGAACGCCGGCCGCCAGAGGCGGCTCAGGCAGCACAACAAACACCATTCGAGTCGCAGGACAGGGAGGCGTGCCGTGAGTGAGACTCCCGAGTCGGGACAGGTCACGAGTGTCCAAACAGAGCGTGCGTGATCAGGGGTCTCTGGACGATGACGGCGTGGGCCAGGTCCGCCTCCTCTAGACTCAGGTCTTTGTCGGTGAGCTCTCGGTAAGGGAGGGATGTGGTCAGGATGAAGGGTGGGCAGCTTCTCTGGCAGCGCGAGGCGAAGTCGTGAACATCAGCAATCCTGAGGCGGATTAGGAAAAGACACACAATGAAACCCAAATAGTCCCATCTGAGACTGCTGCTGCTGCACGTAAAACGCCGTTCTCTGCCAAGCACTCCACTCCCCACGTGGTTTCATTTATTATTAACACCGACCCGTGTGTAAGAACGGTCCTACGGCAGCTCATCGAGACAAGCAGAGGACTGGAGGGGCTCAGCCCTCTGTATCCTTTAGCCTGTTATGTAAAAGCTGCATCCGAGTTATGCAATCCCTCACTGGGGATTTTCTAGATCTGCGCTTCTGCTGCTGCTTCAACTCAGATTATGTTTTTTACTGCAGCCCGGTGCATAGTTTAACCTTCATCAGACTAGACTAAAGCCCTTCCAAAACCCGTCACCACAAAAACAAGAGAAAAAAACCCTCAAACTTCCCTGCTATGTGTAATATTCTGGGATAACGGCCTCACCGATGCGATAGGTTGAACCTCTGGACCAGTCTCCGTCCGTCGGCCAACCAGATCTGCAGGGACGTGACAGGAAGAGAGTGGTCTAGTGTTACCATGGGAATAGGAGGAGATTCTCCATCCTCGTGCACAGATGGTGACCTGGCCACGACTCTGGGTGCCACGCTGGGAACGGACAGGGAGTAAACAGCAGATTAACCACCGGTCGAGTGTCAGCAGCACACGGAACGTGTTTTTATTTTAGTTTTAGCAGATTGTGACGTCTGAAGAGATTTATTTGTGCAGAATGTTTGGAAAAGCTGATGAACTAAATGTGACAAAAATGAGGTTTGTCACTTTCATTGCGATTGTGGTCAGTTTTGCTCAATGGGTCTTTAGATAAATGACTTAAGAGTGCCCCCTAGTGGTGGACAGTATTCTGGAACAATCTGTGCTTTTTAAAAATGGAATGCAGCCTTTTTAATGCACGTCTTTCAGATCTCCTATGAACTAGGGTTGGGGTTAGGCTGCATAACAACAGATTAGGATTATGTACTAGCAACAGACCTGCCGAGTCGGTACCCCCGCCCGCTGAAGGGGTGAAAGGCGGCGGCCTTCTTCTTGTAGACGTAGTTTTCCTCCGTCATGTCCTCCACGCTGATCTCCAGCTCCTCCTCTTCTGCTCTGCTCTCCCACTCGGCTGGAAGCTCCCTGGGACAGATTCAAAGTTCAGCTTGTTAACAAAACAATCCGTGAGACAAAGACACGGCCCTGATGAGATTACAAACACTGGCCGGTGTGACCCTAAAGGAGCATTCGGACATAGTTCTGGCACCTTCCTCCTCCAGAACCTAATTACTCTGGTAAGTTTCCACTAGTTCCTGGGTAGACGAGGCAACTGAAGTCTGCTGATGTGACAAGGCGGCTTCCAGAGTGGGTCGAGTTAGAATCTGATTCTGTCCCAGAGGCTGAAGGCTAGAGCAGCGGTTTCCTAAATGTTCAACGTTTGACCCACTAAGTAAAAATCAGACCCCAGCTTCTGCTGGATGGAGTAAACAAGCCGTGCTAATATGATCGTTTCCCTTTTATATCTTTATGTACTAAAAGCAAATATGTTGTCCTTTTCATCCAAATGTTGTCTTTATGTGTTTTTCTAATGTGCAAAAAACGAAAATCACAATAAAATAACTTGTTTTTGTTTAAATGTTTAGACTTTTGTGGCCTATTAGCAGCTTGATAGTCACAGTCATCCCAGTTAGGCTCCAAAGACGTCATGCTTGCTGGAGATCTTCTCAAGACCCTCTCACTTGGTGAACAGACTCCAAAGAGAATAAAAATAAAACACTAGCCTCGCTCTCCTGTGGTACGTTCGGCTGGAGGCTCCAGAAAGCTAGATCTAGATATTTCACCAAGTATTTCATTAAGGTTCCAAAGAGAACAGGGATAAAAACGCTGATTTATTGTGATAGATTAATGAATTCAGTCATATTCCTTTTCATATGCCGCCATTCTTCACTCCTGGGGAGTTGTTTGACGCCACATGAGGAACATTTCTGCTCAGACGCATTAACAACAAGCTGTGAAACTTCCCAGACCGAGGAGGAGAGAACGCGACACCTCTTACATTTCTACCGGCTCAGAAGTTTATCGGCTTCATCTTTAATCTTTGTACACAAAAATAAAAATCAGATTTTGTATTTTTACTTCTCCATCTTGGACATATCCTGGATTAACCAGATTAAAAATAAACTCACCCTCGCTTAATGGCATCCAGGAACTCCTGATTCTCTGGCACTGAGTAGCTGCGGAAGTCTCCGTCGTTCACAGTGAAGCCGTCCTTCCACAACCTCACCACCATCTCCATCTGGGGGAGGGAAGGGGGGGAGGGGGGCGTGGTTAGTCTGAGTATGCGGCCGCACCTGGGGTGGGGTTAAGATCAGTAAATGAAGTGCATTGATAGGATTGGTGATGGTTTTAAACCTTGGACGTCCCCGAAGCATCGTAACAGATCTTCTCCACCTCATCGAGGAGGTCCTCTACTGAAAAACTCCGACTCATTGGAACCTCTTCTTCCTTCTTCTCACTGGAAACCAAACAGAGACGTGATAATTAACTGAACACAATCGGCTCAAGGGTCTTTAAGTGCAAACACTAGTTAGTGCACCGTGTGTTTTTACCATTGTTCACCCTCCTCGTCGCCCCCAGTGTCAGCCTCTTTCATGACGCTCTGTTTTCCATCTAAGTCAAAGCAAAGACACACACACATGCATGCATGCTGAGTGCTTGGATGAAATAGCAACTTCTTTTGAGTGATAATGCCTTCCAGCAAACTCAAAAGGTGTTTCTGTAGGAATGCGAGTCACAGACCCACCGGTCTGACCTGTGAGTCGTTAGCGTCCTTGTTCCAAGTATTTCGGTCACATGTCTGAAGGTGTGAATGGTTGTGAAACTCTAGAGGAGAGCTGTAGGTGGTTGGGGTTTTTCCTGTGTAAACAGCTTTGTTCGTGATGCACTTAATCTTTCGTTTACTGTCCAAAACAACTCTATCAGATGTAGGTGGGGTTTGATTAGTTAAGTTTCTCCTTCACAAGGCTGCACTAGACCACACAGTTCAGTTTGTTTGGGTGTTTTCTCCTCAGGTGACCCAGGTTCTTTGTGCCCACATGGCCGAGTCTTTGTAAAACCAAATATAGGAAGAAAACTGGTGGTTCGCACCTCCTCATTTTCAGCAGAAATCCTGCGAAGCACATTTATAGGTGTGCCGAGCCTGTGGGAGCAACATTTCCCCAAATCATTCCTCGTGTGCCTACAGTGAGCGTTTGTACTAATGGGTGATGAGATTAGGAGTTGGTTTAAGTTTGTAAAGTTCGATGACAAAAGATTCCATCAAAAGGACAGACCGAAATGTCAATAAAAACTCTCTGCTGACTGAAATCAGCTTATCGAGTGACTCTGTGGTGGCATCAGCGATCCTGTACAGTGTGGTCTGTTGGAGGAGCAGCATTACAGAGAGAGAGAGAGGAAGAAGCTGGACAGGGTGATCAGGAAGTCCAGCCCAGCTCTGTCCTGGGTTGTCCTCTAGACTCCTCAATACGGGATGGGGGGGGGGGGGGGGCAGGATAATCCATGTACAGGGTATCTGCAGGTTTAAGGGAGCCAAATTTAATACTTTTTAAGACCTTTTTTAAGACCACTTTGACCAAATTTAAGCAACTTTTAAAAATTTAATTTAAGCTATAATTTCCAGCTATTGCCTGGAACCGGTGCTAACCACGTCGCGAAACATGGGATTAGCCATCCAGTTACCATTACTGTTGCACTTCCCCATGGCGCAAGCTCCCACTAGCTTAACCAGCTAATGTGCTCATCTAAAAGTAGCCCTCTTTCACAACCAACTGAATGTGTACGGTTCCGCTTACGGCAACATCGTACACAAAAAATGCTGAACACCAACTACAAATTCACAAAATTTTTTATAGAAATAAAAGAATCTTGTTTATTGGGTCTTTAGTAATTTAAGACCTTTGGAAACTGTATTTAAGGATTATTTGTCATTTTTAAAGATTTTTAAGGCCTTAAATTTGGAAAAGCTAATTTAAGACTTTTTAAGGACCCGCGGATGCCCTGATGTAAAATCGTGATCCATGCTGGACCACGAGTCACACCCCCTACATGACGCTCTGTCTGCTCTGGAGAGCAGCTTCAGCGACACACTGATCCGTCCTCTCTGTGAAGGAGAGATACTGCAGGTCTTTCTTTCCTGCTGCTGTTAGACTCTAACGGACACTTCTAATATGCAACTTATCCCTCTGTAACATGCCAGTACAACGGTCATCATCTTTTAAGACGTGTGCGTTATTTACATTACTATTGCTAGTCTGTGTAATAATTGTCTTCACTAAAAATTCAACTATTTACTGCGATATCTTGTGTGCTACTGCTGTTTTACTGTACTTGTTACTTGTGTTAAAAACCAGAACTTCCAAATTATTCAGAAAAAAAATTGTTAATAGTTTTGAGATACATTGGAGTTGGCCAATCAATAAATCAGAACTCTATCCATCCATCCATCCATCCATCCATCCTGTTCCGCGTATCCAGAGTCTGGTCACGGGTCACTAAGGCAAGAGGCCCAGACTTCCCTCTCCCCAGCCACTTGGGCCAGCTCCTCTGGGGGAATCCCAAGGTGTTCTCTGGCCAGCCAAGAGACATAGTCCCTCCAACGTCTCCTGGATCTTCCTTTAGGTCTCCTCCTGCTTGGACGTGCCCAGAAAACCTCACCTGGGAGGTGTACAAGAGGCATCCTAACTAGATGACAGAACCACCTGAACAGTCAGAGCTGTACAAACAACAATCTGTGGTATTGGTCCACAAAACCACAATCGGTGCATGTGTAGTTTAGATTCACCAAACAGCCAAGGCAGCTTATCTGATTATTATATAATTTGATCTAAAGAAGTCATTTAATGAGGTGAAGAATTCAAGCGCTTAGTGGTACCTGCACTCATGCTGTGAATGCCAGGGCCTTGTAGCTTTAAGGGCATCCTCTCCAGGTATTCTGGACCAGCCTCATTACTGTAATTGTCAGGAGTTAAACTGATAAACACTGGTCCTCTCCTCTTTGTCTGAATTAGCTAACAAAATGTATTAAATGTCTCTTGGTTTAACAGTGACGTTTCCATAATAAAGGCAGAAAGCAGGCAGCCTGTGGCGTTATAGCTCATTTGAATCCATAAACGCTCAAACGACACACAAGCTAAATAAAACATGTGGATTTTTTAGACAGATATAGACACACAATAGGCGTATTCGCATGCGAGTGTCAAGCGGAAGGTGAAATACCAAAATGCCAGTCTCATCGACTCATCTTGAGCTGCACGTCTGAAGCCTGAAGTTTCAGGCAGCGGCTTTTCTGCTGGATCAAGCTAGCTGGGTAAGTGACATAACAGTGCCGTATGTCTGCAGCTGGTGTCGTAAAACGTGTCGCGAACTCTGTTTAATCAATCAATCAAAGCTTTATTTATATAGCGCCTTCCGCAACCCTGTCGGGTAGCCCAAGGCGCTGAACATGGTACATGACAAAGTAAAATATGGTGAATAAATCAAAAATAAAAGCAGTTCAGATTACAAATTACAAAAAAGGTAAAACATTCTAGTAGAGGACAAATTGGTAAAACAATGGATTGAGTGAACCAATGAAAACAGGGAAATAAAATCAACATTAAAGATGGCCAAATTAAACACGTTCAGGAAACGCCAAGCGGAGGAGGTGGGTTTTTAGGCGACTCTTAAAGACTGGCAGAGATGAGGACAGCCTAACTGAGGGTGGCAACTGGTTCCAGAGTGACGGTGCTAGGACTGAGAAACCCCGGTCCCCGCGAGTACGACACCTCGAACGAGGGACAGCGAGCAGGCCTTGGTCAGAGGAGCGCAGAGCGCGTGATGGGGAATATCTGTTCAGGAGTGTGGCTAGATAGGGGGGAGCATTACTCTGGAAGAAATTGTTGACAAAGACGAGGAGTTTGAAGTGTGAACGATAACAAACCGGAAGCCAGTGCAGGGAGGCCAGAACCGGACTGATGTGGTCCCGTTTCCTGGTCCCAGTCAGGAACCTGGCTGTGCTGTTCTGCACAACCTGTAGGCGACACAGTGATGACTGACACAACCCTGCATAGAGAGAGCTGCAGTAATCATGCCTAGAAATTACAAATGCATGCAGTACCCGCTCCAGGTGGGCTCTTGACAGCATATGCGTGATTTTTGCAAGGCGTCTCAGGTGAAAGAAACTGGACTGGATCACAGAGTTGATGTGGACATCAAATTTAAGTCCAGCATCAACTTTCACCCCCAAACTGGTGACGACTGGTTTTGAGTAGGGAGAAAGAGGGCCAAGATCAACATAACGACCCACATTCCTGCTGTTGGGGTGAAAAACAATGAACTCTGTCTTTCCCTCATTCAGATGCAGATCGTTGGCCATTAGCCAAGACTTCACCTCGTTAATGCAGGACACAAAGGATTGGATAGAGTGACCTTTCTCCTGACACAATGGAGAGTAAATCTGGCAATCGTCAGCATAGAGATGGAATGATAGGCCATGTTTACGAATGACTGACCCCAGAGGAAGCAGATAAATGGTAAACAAAAGAGGACCAAGGATCGATCCCTGCGGGACCCCCCAACGGAGCCCCTCCCAAGAAGAAAAAAACATCACCCAGTTTAACACAGAATGTCCTGTTGTGGAGATACGATCTAAACCAATCCAGAGCTGACCCTTTGATCCCAACCCATCGTTCCAAGCGATCCAGTAGAATCGTGTGATCAACTGTGCCGAAGGCTGCCGTCAGGTCTAACAACAGAAGCACCACAGATGTACCTTGATCTAGTGATAGATAGATGTCATTTAGGACACTCAGTAGAGCAGACTCTGTGCTATGGCCAGACCTGAACCCTGATTGGAAAACCTCAAACAGATCAGAGTCAGCTAAATGTGAGACCAGCTGCTGATAAACGACTTTCTCAAGCAGTTTTGATGTAAAAGGCAGGGTAGAGATAGGCCTGTAATTTGTGATCACAGAGACATCAGCACCAGGTTTCGTCAGGGTCGGCCGAACAACAACTGCTTTCAAAGCAGCTGGGACCACACCTGTGCTGAGGCTCCCATTGATAATCTGACCGAGTGAAGGGCCAAGACACGGAAAGGCAGCCTTCCAGAGACGAGGCGGCAGAACTTCAAGTGGAGAGCCAGATGGCCTCTGCCTTGCAACAAGCTTACTCAGCTCAGAATAAGAAACAGTATTGAGGGAGCTCAGGGTGGGTGGTGATGGAGGAACTGGAACAGGGTCAATAGAGTTACCAGAAATAGCTGCTCTAATGCCTGATACTTTATCAACAAAGAATCTGTGAAAATCTTCAGAGTTTCCAGCAGCTGTAGGAGACATGAGTCCTAATCTCAAAGAGCCGAATCTTCTTCACAGCGTTGATGGTTAATTAAATCCTGCTTTTTACTAGCAGAGCGTGCATAAAAAACATGTAAAGCATTAAAGTCATTCAAAGTAACCAAACAATTATTTGAAGAGGTGTTATGTTTTTTTTGGGGGGGGGGGGGGGGGGGGTAAATCAGGCAGAGGTGTGGCATCATCAAGTCATCTCCATGTTATGTTTTGTTCTGCTAAGCAATTAAACCAGGTGATTTCAATCAGCACAGTGCATTGACCTGGTTCAGTTGCTGAGCAGAACAAAAACATGACATGGAGATGACTTGATGATGCCACAATGTCACACCTCTGGTATCAGGTTTGATAAAATTACACATTAGTCTGGAAGAGATAAAAACGAAGTCACGAATAAAAACCCTTAGAAATTCGGAAGTGGTACGATTTATTTTCAAGAAATCTACAGGAAGAGCTGATGAGTTATGTTGTGTTAAGCTTTATGAATACTACCTGTAGTACAGCTCTTGTCCACTAGACAGCGAAAATTATCCCTAATCTCAAAAGAGCTTGTGTGGTTTGTCAGGCCCCCCGCATACATATTTAAGCTCCTTTCCCCTCATAACAACGCTCGATGTCTAAGATCAACAAACCAGTTGCTTTTAACTGTCCCTCTGTCTGAACCTATTAGAAAGGGTGATCAGGCATTCTACCTACCTGTGAAAAACTCCCCTTCTGCAGGGATTTTTAAATCTAATTTGAAGACGTCTATTTTCTTTAGCTTTTGAGTGTTCTTAACCATTTTAGTATCTCTTATTGTTTCACTGTTGTTTTTATTGTGTGATCTGTGCTCCAGACAAGTCAGACTCTCTTGGTCAGCTTGCTTCTCACACCAAACCCTCTGCCAGGATCCTTGGTGTGACCTCTGACCCAGCTCTCATCCTGGACTCCCATGTAAGTTCTCTTGTTCATTCTTCCATCGCAGGAACATTGCTAAGCTGAGTCCCATTCTGACTCATTGAGACAGTTCTCCACACCTTCATCTCCTCATGCTTAGACTACTGTAACTCTCTTTTCACGTGTCTGAGCAGAACCTCTCTGATCCGTCTACAGGTGGTTCAGAATGCCTGTGCTCGGCTTCTGACCAAGTCCTCCAAACACACCCGCTTCTCCTCCAGCTTCACTGGCTGCCAGTCAACTTCAGGGTTCATTTCAAGATCCTGGTTCCGGTCTTTAGGGCCTTACATGGACAAACACCATCTGACATTGGCGATCTTCTCAGTCCCTACACCTCCAGCAGGTCCCTGGGGTCCAGTGACCAAAGCCTACTGGTTGTGCAGCGCACCAGGCTAAAGACCAAAGGTGACTGATCATTTGCTGCTGTGGCCCCCAGACTCTGGACCTCTCTCCTCCCGAGCCTGAGATCAGTGATCTCCTTTAAAAAGCAGCTGAAAACACTTTTTCAAGCAGACTTTTGGCGTGACCTTCGTCATCACCCTCTCCTTGTTCTGCTCTTTCTACCTACTTCACCTTTCCCAGGATCCACCAATTTCCTTCTTTCCTATTCATTTTCTCTCATTTATATAAATGTATGAATAACTTGGTATCTCGTATGATAGACTAAATAACCCAAAATACTGCTTTTACATGATGTCTCTTTGATTTTACATCTCACGTGTGTCTCGTGCATTTCCAATATTTAGTATCCCTGCAGTGTAACACACAAAAGCGAATATCCTAATGGTTGCAAAGCATGCATAATAATAACTAGTGTAATACTGTTGGTGATTTGTTATCCCGTCTGCAAAAATGCATGCACCTGCCAAATAGACTCAGGGACCCGGCTGAGAGCAGATAGACAGGCAGCAGATAGACAGGGAGAAATGGCGCCTCGATGCTGCGCTCACTGAGGTGGTTTTTTTTTGGAGCCGGTTAGAGAGATTCAATGAGGACCGTTTGAAGGAGTAACCATGGAGAACACGAGGAAAAGCTCTCGGAATCGGAGTGGTCCCTTCATCTCCTCCAGGACTAGGTCGTCTTCGAGAAACTCTGTGGAACATGTAAGCCGGTTTCTTTTCTTTACCGGCGAGCTAGCTTGGCTTTGCTAGTTGGCTAGGTAGCTGTAGCCCTGGCCTCAAGCTGCTCCAGATGATGTTGTATTTCCACCCAAAAACAGACCGCAGTCACACTGACACCCTTTCAGTCACGCAGATAAGCAGTGAAAGTCTTGAACGAAGTGATTTTCAAGCGTGTCATTTGCGCCAAACTAATTATGCATCTGTCCAAACACAAGCTAGCGACTTTGGGTCCTGGCTAGCTCCAAGTTGAGTTCCCTTTGTGTTTGGCAGTGTTACCCGGCTGAGTTGTTTCACCTTTGTTATAAAGATTTCACCCTTTAAATAAAGTCACTTGATAAAAGCTTAATGGCTCCACTTCTAGTCACGTTAAAGAACGCATTAGCGTGATTATTTAATCATCTTTTAGCATTAAAACGTAAGTGAAACTCGCGTTGGCGAGAACTAGCTAGCCCGCTTTTAGCTTCTAGTGGGGGAAGGGAGTCAGGTCCACAACAGTTGTCTGGCTCGGGTCCTGATTTGAACAAGTCTGAACTTGGTGAACTTTTTGTTGTTAAAGGTCAAAACAGCCACACATGGGCAACTGTCTCAAACTGCGGGCTTTGAGCGTTCATGGGCAACTTTGTGTGTAGTTGTGCTTCTAGACTTGATCGAGACACTTAGTTTTTACTGGTCGTTTGTCCTACAAGCTGTTCCTTTTGTCTCAAAATGTAAACAGATGAGGGGTGCAGGCCCCGTGGATCTACACCTTTACCTCCACAGCAACACGACTGCTGATCATGATGCTCATGTACACATTTGTAGTTTTTTTGTGGTGGTAATGGAGAAGTTGTGGTAATTTCTAACTATTTTGGACTGAGGATTGGAGCCAGTCTCCCATGATAATAATGTGCAATCATCTTAAACTTTCTAATTATTGGAATCAAGTTTCTTTAAAATTCACGACCCCTTCTTTTCTGTATGTTCTTGTTATTGGGTTTCTCTATGATCTTCTTAAAGCTGGAGTTAAGATGGCTGAAATGCGCCCTGACTACCCACAAAAGTTGTTTATACTGCTTTAAAGTAAAGAAACAACTCTCAGTTGTTACTGAAATGACTCAAAACGGACAATTTGGTGACTTGTAGTCACAGTGCTGTCGGGCATGGTGGTGTGTACCACACGAAAACATGGTCTACAAAAAGCTGAGGACAGAGTTGTCTCTGGAGATTTGGAAAGATGATTATTTACCGCAATGTAAATACTTCAGTAACTGTAGTTGCACAAATTATTCAAAAGATTCTCAATACTGTAGCGATCTCCCTGGACGTGGCCGCACGAAAAAGCCATGTCGAGTTCAAGAATGTAATGGTCACCAGTAAGAGCCCAGGGCAACTTCCAAGATCAACATTGAAGGTTAAAGTAGATCAGTGTCTGATCACAGCATCAAGCTAAAGTGGAACCAGTGAAAGACTGGCGAAGAGGAGGATGCCAGTGTTGACAGCAAATCATAAAAAAGCGAGACCATAATTTGTGAAAATGCATTATGACTAACCAAAGAGCTTCTGGGAGAATGTATATTTTTTTGGATGAATGAGACAAATCTGGAGCTTTTCTGGCATGTTGCATTAGCTCCCTGAATGAATGAATGAATAAATGAAGCACACAAAGAAACACAGTGTACACTTAGTTCTGTTGTGAGGTTGCTTTGCTGTGTCTGCACCAGGGTGTTCAGGGTTCAATGACGCCTCGGGACGTAATCTGGAGCTAAAATGTGCCTCCCGGTGTCAGAAACGTGGTTTCAGTTCAGAATCATAACCCAAAACAGTCAGCTAAAAGATGTTTCCACGTCTCTCCACCCAGCCTGTCCGACCTTCACTCGCTCGCCCGTGACAACACTGAGATATGCTTTTCATATCAGCAGGGGTGTAACTCTGTGAAGACACGAACATCAAGGATGCACATCTGCTCTGTGCTGCCATTAACAGAATCAAGGCGGTTTGGTCTAATTTCAGATATTCCTGGTGTTTTTGTCTCAAATGTTTTTATTTTTACCCTGAAAGTTTGAATTAAAGTTAGTTTTTTCCCCCCCTTTTGCAGAAATTAGCTTCTTTTATCTGTTTTCCAGACGTGCATCCTCTCCTCTTTACCTGTTTATTCTGTCTCTGTTTGCCCAACAGAAGGAGCCCGGCAGCGATGCGAGCAGTCCGCGTTTGGCTCCGCCCTCCAAGCGAACGCGGAGGCAGGCGGCCTCCGAGCCAAGCTCTAGTGACACTTCCCCTTCCCCGAAGGCGAAGGGCCAGAGGGTCAGCTGGGGCATTTCTACCTACCGCACCCGGTCAGTTGTTTGTTTGCTTTCAAACCCGTCTTTGTCAGCTTCGTATGCAGCAAAACTAAAATGTAAACAGATTTTGTTTCCCGCTCAGATTTCATAAGTTCATTAATTTATCTTTCATTTCCAGGCTGTCCTCTCGCAGAATGCAAAATGGCCACGGTAATAATTCATTTAGTCTTTTCATATAAACCCCGAGCTTTAGGAAACAACACCACCAAGAACTAACCTCCACTCCGTCTTTGATTCTGCAGCCGGTATGAGTCACCGGAACGATGACAGCGGAGGGGGGGATCACTCCCGTATGAACGGCCACGTGGAGCTGAAGAGGAGCTGCCGAGTGAGGAAGAGCCAGTTTCAACACCTCAATCAGAGCCTGCTGTTTGACCAGCTGGTCAACAGGTAGATGGGTGCTGAGACGCCGTGCACTCTCTGACTCAGGAAATGGGAATCGCTGATTTACAAATGTGCTAAATGTTGAAACTGAAAGCGACCAGAAGAAAACCACTGAAGGGTCAGATTTCAGCGTAATAAATGAAACTCTTGACCTTAAGGTCGAGACGTTTGTGTTTACTGAGAGCTGCGTCGTCCTCGGGCCGGAGGAGCAAAGATATCGGACCTGAGCGTCGCTGCTCGATCTGAGCCGATCATTCACTCCTCCCTCGCGGTTTACGCTTGTGCTACCCTGAGTTTCAAATCAAGCGCACCTCGCACACAATTTTTGCCAACTTAGCAACGGGGGGTGCAGCAATTGCAGCTTTTGGCTGATCACCGATCTTGAAAAAAACCTGACTTACCAATACCGATTTTGTCTTAACTAAAAGCGGATCGCGTCAATGTTTCAATTTGCTTTTATTGAGAAAACCAACATGAAAACTCATGAAACAATACCAGTTTCAACTGGACACGAGGTAATGTTCTTAAATATAAGTGAACATATGTAGCATTGCTGTTTGAACTACAAAGTCACATTTGTTCCTTTAGACTTTAACTCATTCACTGCCATTGACGACTAAAGTCGTCATTTGTGTTTTTAACGAGCCCCCGGACCGTAAGAACAAACATCACAGCTCTAAAGCCGATCCTCATCCGCGTACATCACAGGTCACGTGATCAGGAAGCAGAAAATCCACGTGTTCGGAGATCGTTTTGGGCCACTGCTGTAAAAAACGTGAGGTGCGAATTGGAAAAGCTTCTGCCGATCACAGTTAGAGAACGGATAACGCTCGAAACGTGCGGATTCTTCCTGATGTAAGAGGGGAGTCTCCTCTTTGTTTTGTTAGTTTTGGCGTCGACATCATCCTAGCGCGCAACGTTCTGTGACTCTTAAAAAACCAGTGAAAACGCTGAAAGACGCCGGCAGCGAAGGGCTTTTCTGATCAGGAAACGGCTGGCAGTGAATGAGTGAATTTTTCTAGTTTTGAAAACAAATCTTTTGCACCTGTTTCGACACGCTTGTCCAAAAAATAATTCTGTAGCAATGACTTGCTTTGACATTAACTAAGGATGCACCGATTGCAATTTTTGGCCGATCTCCGATCTTGAGAAAAACAACCGAGATCGGGGCCGATAGATCGGTTGGCCGATAGATCGGTGCACCCCTACTTAGCAACTTTCCAGACCCCTTTAATGATTATTTTTTCTAAAAATCACCCGATAAACAACCTAGCAACGTTTCTGATGAACCTTAGCTACTTTATATTTTTATTGTTGATGTTCTCTGCAGGTGAGTTAAAGATCCAGCCTGCACCCGGGCGTCCCAGCATTAGGGAAGACGATGATTGGCATGTGCGTGCAGCACGATCACGTTACATCGACTGACCTTTCTCGGCTGATCTCACTCACACAAAAACTGTGTTTCAGCTCAAGCCATCATAATCAAACTAAAAGAAATAAACTCTTGTGTGATGAAGCTTTTAGAGGGAGTTTCTACCTTTGGATGGTATTCTAACCCACTGAGATGTGTTGTAAATGTGACATTGTTGTGCTTTCTCTCGTGAACCGTCTGGTGTGTGTGTGTGTGCAGCACTGCTGAGGCTGTTCTCCAGGAGATGGACAACATCACCAGCATCAGGCAGAGCCGTGAGGTGGAGCAGCTCCGCATGTGGAGCGGAGAAACCGAGGAGGTGAGCGCCGCTCTGCTTTAAAGAAAAAGGCCCCCTGTCTGCATCTGTGAGGTGAACACAGGTGGTTTGTCTCCTCCCAGGAAAGCATGGACATGTATTCCCGAGTGAAACGCAGGAAATCAATGCGTAGAGCCTCTTTCAACATATCCGCGCACCACAAAGTCATGAGCAAGGATGATGACGACGACGATGAAGAGGAGGAGGAGGAGGAAGGGACAGAAGGTGTGTTGTGTGTTTATGTTGGACCTAAAATACTGAAAATGAGTTTTAAAACGTCCCTCTGGTCTTCCAGAGTCTCACGGCGAAGAAGAGGAGGATGCAGAGGATGATGATGACGAAGACGATGAAGGAGACGAAGCTGAAGAGGCGGGGGAAGAAAACGACCGACCTTACAACTTGAGGCAGCGGAAGACCGTACAGAGATATGAAGCTCCACCGATTGGTGATTAGTTTTTAAATGTCCCAGATGTTCCTCAGAGGGTGGGGCCTAACCTGTTGGTCTTCTCTCTCAGAGCCAGTGAACAGGAAGCAGAGCAACCCCTCCCTGTTCGACACCCACATGTCTCCAGCTAGAAGAAGCCATATCAGGTGGGTTTCAGATCTGACACCGGAGCTACAAGCCTCACTAGCAGCGCCAGCGTTTTCAAAACGTTCTCCTAGTGAAGTACCGTGTGCACTTTGGGACGTCCTCGGGTCTCGAGAAAACGTCGTCAGACATCCGACCAGAGAAAAAAGCATCAGCTTCATTCAGAAACTCCCCAGACTTCAGACTAAATGGTGTCTGAATAAAAGGAATCAGGAAAAACTGTCAAACACAACGCTGTTATAGAAGCTTCCTGTAGGTGGCGCCATCACCTGGTGTTTGCTGGTTAAAGTGAGGGTCAAGGCTTGGGTGGAGACTCATTTCATCCACACTTCCTGTTAGGAAAACGCTTCTGAAAGAGGCGTTGCCTGGCGGGCCGAGAGCGGCACTGGGGCAGTGGTAGACACCCCCCCCCCCGCATCGGCTGTTGGAGTTTCTCAATCTAAAAAACGAGTCGTTAACGAGCGCGTGCACACAAGCGCACACTCGCACATGACTTACCCCTCAGGAGAAAAGCAGACACCGATTTTGCAGCATTCTGGAGGATTTCCTGTTAACTTCGATCAATAGATGAAAAAGGGGAGGAGGGCCGTTTTTCAAGGAGGCGAGCGGCTCAGAGCGCTCATGGAGCCAGGTGGAGGTGCGGCTGCCTCACCTGGAGACCAGTGCAGTGCAGCAACGTAGTACGTTGCTGATGACGTCACGTTTTTCAGCTCAGCCATCAACCACAGCTGGTTCTACATAAATGTGGAGCAGAAGATGGAGATATAATTATGGTTTTGGGCTGAAACGTTACATTTAAAGTAAGTTGCACTAAACTGCCACACTAATGATTACACTCGTGTACAGCACCATTAGACACTCATCTCTGCAGGTTGTCAGCAAAAACAAAAGTTAATTTAGGCGTTACTTGCTCTTTAACTACATTTATTTGACACATGAGAATGAAGGAAAAGAGCTGCAGCAGGACATGTTGTCCTAATGCATCATGGACGTGCGACAGAGGTGGAACGTAAGATTCAGGCTTCTAACGTTACTTCCTGTGATGCAAACTAGGGTTGTCACGGTAACCGGTGTAGCGGTAAACCCCGGTAAAAAAGTTGCCAATAATAATAATAGTCTTGTTTTTAAAAAAACTATATTATCTCGGTGGATTACCATGGCTGCGGTGTAGGCGCGGTGACCCTTACCAGCCACCGTATCATCTGCTGAAGTTGCCGGCGGCACACGCGCACTTTGTTGTTTACAACCAAAACTTTCTTGAAGCTAAAGCTGAAATAATGGCTAAAGGAGGAGACGGCAGCGCTCAGGACATTTATTATCCCTCAAAGAAGACAAAGTGGGAAGTACGGGCATGCTTTGGATGTTTGAAGAAAGCCGAGGGACAGTTTCTAGAAGACGGCTATCCTGTTTGCAGCATGTGCAGAAAAAGTGTCTGTGAAAGGCAGCAACGCTTCAAATCTCATGACACATCTGCGTGACCATCACCCACAACTCTACAGTCAACGCAAGGCAAGCTAACGTTAGCGTTTTAGCTAAAATGCGTGATCCGAGGATTTGGGTTGAGAGAGAATGAAACGAGTCGCTATATAAAGCAGCCGCAGCGCCGCTACCTGCATATAAACCGTGTCGCGGACACCCCCATGTTGAAATGACGCTATGCATTACGGGGCTCCCAGGGGCAGATAAGAGTTGGTCTCTCTCCGAGAATAATTATGAATTTAACAATGATTACTGCCTGATGACATTTTCCCACATCTGCAAAGCTCACTGGAAGGACACAAACCGAGGACAATATTTTCCTGATATAGGGTTTATTACTCAAGTAATGGTAAAAAAAGTACCTGATTAGAAGGCTACTTGAGTACTGAGTATCATCTGATCTAATATTTTTAAAATGATGACGTCAAACAGACAAAAAGTAAGAAGTTATGGGCAAATATTGGTATTTTAAAGACTAAAGGAGAAAAATGTAAACAAATAAACAACACAATTACAAAATAACACATTTTAGGCAAAATTTAGACACAATCTGATGACAATATTTTCCTGGTATACAGGGTTTATTGTCTGAAAATGTAGCACGTTTAAAAAAAATGCCGCGATAATACCGAAAAGCGCGATAATTTTGGTCGCAATAACCGTGAGGTTACATTTCCGCACCGTGACAACCCTGATGCAAACTTCACAACCTGAATGTAACTTAATGTAATGTAACTGTAGAAAAAGTACAGCAAACAAGAAGTAGTTAAACTCAGCGTGGTTTTGTGAGGAGCCTGCCGCTGTGGCGCATTGATGGAGTTGGTCAACGTTTCGTCTGTGACCTGCGATCGGCCTCAGTGTGACGCCACAAAACTTACCGCCTTTTGTCCTCATTGAGTGTTTCTCTTCTTCACTTGAACGGTAATGGGTCAAAATGACGGATGGCCTTTAGATTTTTACGTCACCGTCTTCAAAAACATAATTTGATAAATGTGACCCCCGTGATAGTCTGACGCCTTCATGCAGCTGTGACCCAGAATTCTACTGAGACTGATTCTTTTCCAGAGTGAAGAAACACGCCATTCACAGCAGTGACACCACCTCATCGTCCGATGAAGAGCGTTTTGAGAGGAGGAAAAGCAAGAGCATGACCCGGGCCCGGAACAGGTTGTTGCACTGTTTTATTTAGAGCTCCTAAGGAAACAGTGGTGTGTCTCAGATTGTGTTTTTTCGTTTACTCTGTGAGTGATTCGTGTCGGCTGGACACATTTTAGCCCAACTGAAATGATTCTGGACCCTTTGATGAACACATTGTGTGTTTGAACAGATGTTTGCCCATGAACCTGACATCTGAGGACCTGGCCAGCGGCGTGCTACGAGACCGAGTGAAGGTGGGCGCCAGCTTAGCGGACGTGGACCCCATGAACTTTGACACTTCAGTGAGTGGAAATCAAGTTATGTTGTGACACAAACGTAGTTGCAGTTGAATTGTTTATTTAGATTAGGGATGCACCGATACGATACCGGTAAAAGTTAACCGATACCAGGAACCTGACCTTTCTCAGTGGCCTAGTGGTAGAGTGTGCGCCCTGAGACTGGGAGATCAGGGGTTCGATTCCTAGTCGGGTCATACCAAAGACTTTTAAAAAATGGGACCCAATGCCTCCCTGCTTGACACTCAGCATTATGGGGTTGGATTGGGGGGTTCAACCACCAAATAGTTCCCGAGCGCGGCTGTGTCTGCAGCTCACCGCTCCCCCAGGGGATGGGTCAAATGCGGAGAACAAATTTCGCACACACACCAGTGTGTGTGACAACTGATAGGACTTTAACCGATACCAATGCAGTTGCTTGAAAATGGCTTCACTGTAACTTGTCATTTCTGTTCACCTAATATTTTAGTTTTGTGATGATTTCTATTCATATATTTTACTTTTTATCTACCTCACAGTCTTTTCCTGTTGAAAGCAGAGAAGAAAATAAAACCTGTATTCCAAATCATTGCATTTTCTGTGTGTGGTAGAAGTATCGGTATCGGCGAGTATTCAGATCCAAGTATCGGTTTGGAAAATGTGGTATCGTTGCTTCCCTAATGTTTGAGTTCAGCTGACAGAAATGTTGTTTTTGTTAAGTATAAGAGCTTTGATTCTGCAAACCCTCCATCCACAGCCACTAAAATGTTTAATCATCATTACGTTCTCCACACAGTTCTTTGGAACACCTTTTATTGATGTTTAGGTGACTGAAGCTACACGTGTGACTCTTTTTTAGGTGCGATTTGACGGCGTGGGCGGCCTCAGTGAGCACATCCAGTCACTAAAGGAGATGGTGGTGTTCCCTCTGCTCTACCCAGAGGTCTTTGAGAAATTCAAAATTCAGCCCCCCCGGTGAGAAAACCATTCAAACAGATGTGAAGTCCTTAAGTGTAGTTTTATCTTTTGGACGCAGAACTGTTTAGTTTCTCTAATTGAAAAACCAGAGGAGTCGTGTTTGTTTCTATAGCTGAGCTGATAAACGTGGGAGACGACCTGCTGTGTAATTATCCCGCGGAGCTGATTTGTTTTCCGTTTTAGAGGGTGTTTGTTCTACGGCCCGCCTGGAACAGGAAAGACCCTGGTTGCTCGAGCACTCGCCAACGAGTGCAGTCAGGGAGACAGGAAGGTTTCCTTCTTTATGAGGAAAGGAGCCGACTGCCTCAGCAAGTGGGTCGGCGAATCAGAACGGCAGCTACGCCTGCTCTTTGACCAGGTGTGTAACTTCTGATGAACATCCTCATCATTTAAAGTGTAAAAAAAAAGTCAGCTCCACGACCTTTAGCATCTCCGTTGGTTGACCTTGATCTTGTATAAATCCCTCTGACTAGGCTTACCTGATGAGGCCATCCATCATTTTCTTTGATGAGATTGATGGTTTGGCTCCTGTCCGCTCCAGCAGACAGGACCAGATACACAGGTAAGTTCCTGTCCGACTTGTTGAATCATCAACCGCAACCCATCAGTTTATCTGTCATTGTTTTTTTTTTTTAAACACACAGGGGAGGGGATGTGTAGGCAGATGTTTGAATAACGACGATATGAGAACAGTTAGCCAATTGGACAACATATCCTGCACCATGTGGCTTTGGTTCTTTTACCCGACCAGAGTTCTCTTCCAAACTGAGCAGGCTCATCTGAAATTGCAACCCATGATTAATACAATGTTATGTGTAGCTACGTCGTTTAGCTGAGGATCCCATTTCTGCTTGATGAACGAAGTCATCAGACTAGGGCTGAAACGATTCCTCGGGAATAATTCGAGTACAAAAAAGCCTCGAGTCAAATTCTCTGCCTCGAGGCTTCGTTTAATTCATGTTTAATGAATTCATTGCTTTGAAGTCGCCCGGGTTCATGTTTCACCCGGACCGAAATAAGTGACGCACATACGCACTGCACTGTTGTGATGGGAATTCCGGCTCTTTTTAGTGAGCCGGCTCTTTCGGCTCCTAAGTGGCTCCTCAGATTTTCTGTTGCGTAGAGTACATTTATAACCAAAATAATGCTAAACTAAATGTAAAATAATTTACTAATGTAAAAAAAAAGCAATATATCAAATATTTATCATTTCTATGGATTTAATAACTGAACACTCTAAGAAATGTCCACTTTCCGACTGCTGGCGCTCATTTTCTCACCGTCTTCGTCGCACTCTCCTCCCTCTCGCTCGCCTTTTTCCTCCTCCTCATTCCCTCTCGTCTCCCTCCACCCGCAGGTGCTCTGCTGTGTGTCTGTCTGAATATGATCCTCCCTCTTCCCCGCCCCTACTGCTCTTGTGTGTGGTCAGTCTGGACTCACAGTTACACATGTTGACCAATTGCCTGTAGCTTTCACCAAGGCGGGGGGGGGACGGCTCCCAATGACGAGCCGGCTCCCGTCGTTCTCTTCAAAGAGCCGGTTCGTTCGCGACCGACACATCACTACTGCACTGAATGCACACGCGAGTAGCGAATGTAACTTAACTTTCTCTTAAGCCATGGCGGACAACTTGGACCCCGGCGGAGTGCGAAAAAGACAGGAAATGTCAAAGGTGTGGGACCATTTTTCACGTCGTAAGGCGGAAAACGTAGTCCAGTGTAAATACTGTAAAATGGATTTAGCCTACCACAACACCATATTCCTCCATGCTGCAGCACCTGACCAGGAAACATCCACATGTAAATGTCCCTTCTGCAAGCGGACTCAGAGCCTCTACAAGATAATGCATTTTAGCCTGTATTTCTATATATTCTGCGGAAACTGTGCGACATTTTCATTTGTAGCACTCAGTTTCAGCTCACACCGTACGTCTGGTAGCAACACGTAGGACCTGAAAATGTGTTAAAAATAGCAGTTTTTACAACACGTCGGACTTTTTACTGTGTTATTGATGTCCGTTGTCCCTCAGGATCGCTGCAGGAGGACACGGGTATTTATGAGAGAGGAGGAGGAAAACAAAAGAAAGTAAATGTTCTGTGATCAGTATAAGTTGACATAAACACGGCAAACATGCTTTCAACAATCCTTGTTAGTGTGAGAAAAAAAAAGTGTAGAAATTAAAACGGACGTGTGTTAATAGGGAAACAGCTGGCGAGCCATGTTTGCGCATGCACCGTGAGCAGTTCTGGTGCGGATTGGGCCGCAACCGCTCGCATTTGTTTACTGTGAAGTAAAGCTGAAGTGCTGAAGTTTTGAAAACTAATTTTGAATAAAACTTGAAGAATAACTGGCAATTGCTTTCTCATTTCAAGAGGTCTTTCATATTTTATAACATGCTGTTTGATATAATGGTTTAAAAACGTAAAAGTGTCATTTATTAGAGTACTCGATTAATCGATAAAAGATTCGATAGAGTACTCGATTAATCGATGAAAGATTCGATAGAGTACTCGATTACAAAAATATTCGATAGCTGCAGCCCTACATCAGACTGACTGCAAGTGAAAATAATAAATAACGGAAAGGAATCGCTGGCGCCATTGTAGACTTGGGACAACTTTATGACAAAGCACCGCCGTGAGCCTCGGCTGAAAGGTGCAAGGCACTCCTGTTTCTATAAACGCACACACACGTGCACGTAGTTAGCAGCACATCTCCAAGTAGTTTTCTTTTACTATTTGATAAAAAATTTTCAACAGAAATGCCTCAGTTAGATTTTTAAAACATAAATTCAACTGTTGTGTGTCTGGGAAGAGTGTTGGTGCTCCGTGGTTGCGTGTGTTTATTTTGTAACATTACAGGCCTTCCGCAGAGCTGTTTGAAGTTTCCCAACGAGACTAATTCCTCCTGTCCGTCCGTACCGAATGGAATAATTATCATGTTTCACAGCTGCAGGGGGAACGTGGGTCAGTCAAGGCAATTTAATTTGTAGGATCAGGTGTTGGGTGAAACTTTGTTTTTTTTTTATTGATCAGAGTCAGGTCTCCGTTCCTACAGAAGACCGCACGGTTCGGATCCGCGGTCGACGCAGCAATTCTGTACATAAATAAAATTAAAACCTCATCTTTGTCAGCTTTAAAAACTTTCATGGATGCATAGAATCATAAGTAGACTCCTCTATACTTAATGCCTTTGAAACGTGTGAATCAAAAAGCAATTTATCTGCTGCTATCTTTGAACTAAACACTCCGTGCGCTGCTGTAAACAACTGCCCCGCCTCCTCCCCCTTGCTACCTCCATTCTGTGTTCATGTGCAACCACAGAGTAGTTCCTGCTAAGTCTTTGGGAAGCAGCACAGGTTCAGTTGAAGTATTAATGACGTCCCTGTTAAAACAAACAAAAAAAAAAAACATGCATTTTTGCCCAGGCGGTGAAATTGACTCCTACGGTTTAGTTTACATGTTTACATTCAGTTACAGTGATCCCTCGTTTATCGCGGTAGATGCGTTCCAGACCTGGCCGCGATGGGTGAAAATCCGCGAAGTAGGGACACCATATTTACAGTCATGGACGTAATTTTGGGGGGGGACAGGGGGGACATGTCCCCCCCACTTTTTCCAAAGTCAAGTTTTGACCCCTGCACTTTTTACCATCCAAAAACAATATTACCGTAAATCCTCCAATACAGCCCGGTATTCAATTAAAGGCCGGGTATCCAATTTTGGCCAGTGTCGGAGTCGGCGGCGGTGAATAAAGGCCGGTCTCTTATTGTGGCCGGGTGGAATGTGGTAACAAGCAAGTACGGGGGCGGTTGTGTCATCATCTCACTTTTGATTTGCCAGTGATGGACCGCGAGGGTAACTTTAACCGTGCAGAGACGAAGAGGAGGCTGTGCCAGAGTTGTGTACGATGTTGCCGTAAGCGGAACCGTACACATTCAGTTGGTTGTGAAAGGGGGCTATTTTTAGATGAGCGCATTAGCTGGTTAAGCTAGTGGGAGCTTGCGCCATGGGGAAGTTTAATGGTAACTGGACGGCTAATCCCACGTTCGCGACGTGGTTAGCACCGGTTCCAGGCAATAGCTGGAAATTATAGCTTAAATTTAATTTTAAAAATAGCTTAAATTTGGTCAAAGTGGCCTTAAAAAGGTCTTAAAAAGTCTTAAATTTGGCTCCCTTAAACCTGCAGATACCCTGCTCTAGGACCTAGCGGAAAACAACCGTTTGTGTTGAAGCCTGTTTCCCATTAGAGCATACTGTAAAGCTACCCCCCCCCCCCCCCCCCCCGTGTCCCCCCCACTTCTAAAGTGAAAATTACGTCCTTGTTTACAGTACAGTACTATATTGAATTATCGTATGATCACATTCTCTTTTTGTGGGTAAAACTCAAGAAAAAAAAATTTTACTTGTTTTTTTTATAGTTTTATTACAAAAAGTGCATTTTATGATGAAATGGATGAAAAAAAACCAGGAATTTCTTGATATTTCGCATAGAAAAATACCGCAAATCGGCGAATTTCCCTTGAATAAGGCTCCAAAGAAAAAATCTGCGAAGTCGTGAATCCGCGATAAACCAACCGCGAAGTAGCGAGGGATCACTGTATTTCATAACATTTGTGGAAATAAGACCTTGTTAGGTTTTTAAGGACTCTAATCTTGTGGTTGTTGTGTTTCTGTTTGGCACCATATTTTTGTTTCTGGTATATTTTTGATACAGGAATAAAAAAAAAAAACAATATACGTACGTTTTTACCCTCTCCTTCTGCTCGACAGTTCCATTGTGTCCACGTTGTTGGCCTTGATGGACGGTTTGGACAGTCGTGGGGAGATGGTTGTCATCGGTGCTACAAACAGACTCGACTCCATCGACCCGGCCCTCAGGAGGCCTGGACGTTTCGACCGGGAGTTTCTCTTCAGCCTTCCGGACAAGAAGGTGAAGCTGAGAAAACCTTAAAGTCGTTGAATTCGACGACAATTTTTACTGAACCTGGATTTTTCTTTTTTAAATGACGTTATTACTTATGTTGTCGTGCTTTCGTCCCTGGAGAATGTGATTCAGTGAGCAAGAGACGAGACATTTTAATAGAAGTTTGTAGATTTGGTTGAAATGAAAATGCACAATAAACGTGTGAGTGATCGGACCGTGATCTGCAGGTCGTTCCTTTAGTCTGTATGCTAACAGACAGGATTAACCTGCTTTCTATTCCTGTTTGATAGGCCAGAAAGCAGATTTTGAAAATTCACACGAGGGACTGGAATCCCAAACTGGCTGAGCCATTTCTAGATGAACTTGCAGAAAAATGTGTCGGTGAGTGAAGTACGACATTGTTTTGGGGTGTGTGGTGTTCGTCCTCCCGCCTCCCACTGAGGGAGCACTTTAATGAAGCCAAAATGAGGAGATCCTAATCTAATAACAGACTGTTTTTGTGTCTTCCCAGGCTACTGCGGTGCTGACATCAAAGCACTTTGCACAGAGGCGGCCTTGATGGCGCTGCGCCGCCGCTATCCCCAGATTTATGGCAGCAGCATCAAACTGAAGCTGGACGTCGCCTCAATCGTCCTGGGGCCTGGCGACTTCAGCAAGGCCATGAGGACGATTGTCCCAGCCTCCCAGCGGGCTCTGGCCCCCCCGGGCCGAGCCCTGTCCCCCACCCTCAGCCCCCTGCTGGCCAGCTCTTTCTCCTCGGTGCTGAAAGCTCTTCTCCGAGTCTTCCCCCACGCTCAGTGTGCCGACAGGGACAACACACAAGGCGAGCTGCTGCCACCCCGACACTTAAAGAGTCTGCTGGATCAAACACCATCGCCCTTCCCCACCCATCGTATTCATGACTCTGTCGTCCTGCTGGTTTTTATTTTACGTGATTATCTTTGCGACCTTATTACCGCCATTCTGGGTGGTCTGCGCTAGGGCTGGGCGATATGGCAAAAATAGAATATCACGATTTTTCCAATATTTTATCACGATTTCGATTTTATCACGATTTTTTATCCATGAATAGCATAACTTCAATTGCGTATTAAAGAAGAGGAACAATGAATAAATAAACATTTATTCATATTAGGGATAATCAGCACAGTGCTAACACACTTATATTTTAAACTCACACCAGAGATGATAAAAGCCCTGAGAGAAACAATTACAAAAATCAGTTTTTCTCGTTTTTCAAGTAACTTAACATAAATTAAAATTGTAAACATATTTAAAGTGCAAACATGTCAATTGCAAACGTATTTTGTAAACATGAACTTGTTCAAAATACTATGTAGCTCCCAGTTGCTCATGTAGTGGATAGTTAAGCTCAAATACGGCTCTGATGTGCGGCTGGACCAGAGATCGCTTGTGGTAGCAAAAAACTGCGCATTCTGAATATTTCCTGCAACTCTCACTTTGCATTCAGCGTACATGCGTGGAATGGCGGTGTTCGAAAAATACTTGCGGCTGGAAAACTCGTAGCGCGGGTCCAATGTTTTTATCATTTTCTTAAATCCCGCTCCTACTGTTCGCACGGGACACAAATCTTTAACCAAGTGGTGCGTCACTGCATCTGTCGCGCTGTTCCATCGTCTGCTGTCTCTGTCGTAGGGTGTGAGTTTTGTGTGTTTCTGTTAGCGTTCGCTGCCTGGAAGAAGCACGAGCCGCTGCAGCCGCAGGCTTTTTAGCTTTTGCTGCCAGCTGGCTCTCATTGTATTGTTTGGGATGCCTTCTTTTCAAGTGATTAAACAAGTTTGTGGTGTTGCCATCACTTGCCTTGACGCTCTCCTTGTAAATGACGTTTCGCTGCTCTTTGTCATCTGGTGAAAAGCCAAACCAGTTCCATAGAACGGACGAGGCGTTCCTCTTCGGAACGAAAACCTCGTTGTCGCTCGTGTCGCGCTCAGCCGCGGCCGAAGCCATGTTTGTTCACACACAGGTGAAAACAAGCGGGACACTAATATATTACTATGACTCACTGATTGGTTAAGGGTCAAACAAAGGCGTGTCATTCGCCGGAGGTAAGTTCCCTTTTCATTCAGAGGCAGAAATTCAACAGCAGAGCTGTGAATCGTGATAAAAAGGTCTCTCAAAAATGACAGACCGTCAGATGTGTAGATCGTAAAACGGTCTAAAATCGTCATATCGCCCAGCCCTAGTCTGCGCTCCCACTGACCAGACTCTTTGCTAACCCCACTTTCATAGATGTAGTAGCACAGAGACCAGAGACCAGATCACTTATCACCACTGTGTGAGCTCTTCACTAATTCACTCCAGTCAGCGGAGCAGCTTTAATGGAAGAGCAGGCTTAACGGAGCACTTCACCAGCGGGACTTTAGCAACAGAGGCTGTGCTCGTTGCACCAAAGCTCAACTCCTAGGGCGTTGTGTCCCTTTATGGCTAACGGATAACCTAACATCAGAAATAGATTCTTTTATGTTTATAGTGTGTTACTGTGTGTATGTAGCTCACTATGCTCTCCTTTTCTGTTTGCTAGGCGGCGACAATCATCTCTTAGAAGAGGACGTGTACAGCGACGACGACAATGAGGACGGCTCTGCCTCCATTTACGAAGTTCCGCCTTCTGCATCCCCAAAGAGTCAGCATTCCTCTTCTGCAATGCACAGAACCTTTCTCCAGCTCTCCACGTGAGTGCTCAGAACTTAAATACAGAATTATTCAACGTGCTCACAGAACAACCGCATGCAGGAGGGAGATAGAAATGTAGTAATTAGCAGGTATAAAGTGGGAATTTCTACGTAAAGCTTGAAATCGGCTAAAAGCAGGGCGCATTCCGACTCCCAGAGAATTTTTTTACTAATATTTAACTATAAATGAAAAGATTTCAGCGTATTTGGTTGTCAGTCTCACAAATAAAGTAGTTTAGTTCATTAGTTTCCTGGAATAACAGCAGAGTCTCAAATTCAAAACCATAATTGTAAAAGTTAAAAAACAAACAGCTTTAAATAATAATTAGTTCTTATTTCTATTTATACATACAACTTTTATTTCTAGTGAAATTTTGGCTTTTCTTGTTTCTGTTGGACTGACCTGCTGCTTAGTGACACAACAAAGCTGCTACTGCCATCTACTGGCAGGAATAATAATCGTCCTAGCAGGTGAAATTTGAACTAACTAGATGAGAGGGGCAGAAAACACCCGCTGCTTGATTCTTTTAGGAGTTATTCACATTAACCCCCCCCCCCCCGAAAGATCTCTGATATTATTTAGGCATGTTGATGTTTGGCCTCGATGTTTTGTCCTCACACATCCCATAATGCACATTTTAAATGATGCCCTTTAACCTCCCGCCTGTCTCTTGGTGTGCAGATGTTCAGTAAAGAGCAGCTGTAGCTTTGTAAGCGGTAAAAATTAAAAAGAGACAAAGATGTTTGAATAACCAGAGGATTGCTGCTCTGTGCTGAGACTTTGGACTCATTTCGAGTCGTCGTTTTGCTTCTAGTTGTGCCCTCCGACAGCCCACGGCGTTCCGGCCTCGTCTGCTGTTGGCAGGAGCCCCGGGTTCTGGACAAAGCTCCCATTTGGCTCCGGCCCTGCTCCACCACCTGGACAAGCTACCAGTACACCGCCTGGACTTGCCCACTTTGTACTCCGTCAGCGCCAAGACGCCGGAGGAGTCCTGTGCTCAGGTATTGAAAAACAAACAAACAGAGCAGACATGTTTTTAAACCCTCGCCGGTGGGCACGCCACTCTCTACAAGTGAAAACTCTCACTGCTGTGGTTGCAGGTTTTCCGTGAGGCTCGTCGAAGCGTGCCCAGCGTGGTGTACATGCCGCATGTCTCCGAGTGGTGGGACACCGTGAGCGAGACTGTGAAGAGCACCTTCCTCACTCTGCTGCATGACGTGCCCTCGTTCAGCCCCATCCTCATCCTCGCAACCGCCGAGACTCAGTACTTAAAGTTGTCTGATGAGGTAAACACGCACGCACGCACGCACGCACGCACGCACGCACGCACGCACACACACACACACACACACACGCGCGCACACACACACACACCTGGCACAGAGCAGACTCAAAGGTGTTGTTTTGTAACAAAACACTGAATTCCATTGGCTGTTTGATTGGTCAGTCAACATTAGACTGCGCTGTGATTGGTTTGAGCTACACATGAGGATGGGGGCGGCACACGTGGCCTTTCAACCAATAGACTTTGCCTCGGCAGAGGGGGTGACCCTTCTCCTGCTGGATCAGGTATGACGCCAGTCAAAAGTTTGACGCTAACCTGAGGATGCTAACGGAGGTTATCATGACTTTTTAAGAAAGAGACACCTGAAGGAGATTTTGAACTTCTTCAGCCGTATGTTATGTTGGATTGTTAAGGCGAGACTTGCTGTGGACTAACTGTCTTATTGGAGGACATTAACTGGACCCTTGTGGACATAAAAAAGACAGTTTTTAGTTTGCTCTGTCCTGTTGATGATAGCTGTTGAACAACAAGCTGGACATTGTTTTGCTTGTCTTTCTCCTTTTCTTGCATAGTCATTTTGATTTCTTGTTTAATTATATTCCTCCCCTTAACCATCATTTGACCGTGTTAGTCTTCTGAGGAAACCTAAGCCTGCTTCACCTAGCTAACCTAACAGTTTAACCACCTTACAAGGCCTCTGCAGAAATAAGAACAAGGAGACTGAACCCAATTCTGTTGCTAAGGTGAGATGCAGCCTGGGTTGCCAAGTGTTCATCATCTTCCTGCCACGGCTTTACTGGTTTTAATGGGAAACGTAAACTGGTTGTAATGGAGCTCTTCTTCCTCCAGAGTTTTTCCATTTAATTCTACTTTACCACCTTTGCCTCCTTGGTGTCCTTTATCCTGTTTCCTCTTCTTCTCTTTCACCCTTCCTAACGTCTTTACTGAGACCTTTTGCTGTGTGTTGGGGTACGGGTAGGAGCTGAAGGTTCGGGGAGGCAGAAACTGAAACAACCGGACAAAAGATGGGAATAAAGGGGGCAGCTTGGTTATGTCAGGTCAAGCAATAGAAGAGGTTTAATTAGGTCTGAAGGCTCCTACTCGGCGTCTCGACCCTAGGCCACACTCTCATAGTAGTTTATGCCAAAATGAGGATTTCATATTTGTTTTAGCCTGTGTGTGTGTGTGTGTGTGTGTGTGTGTGTGTGTGTGTGTGTGTGTGTGTGTGTGTGTGTGTGGCATTTGGCAAGGCCTTTGACCCTGGCCACGCTCTGAGATGTTTAGCGCTGTGAGGATGATTCTCTGTTCTGGGCTCATTAGGACTGAGGCAAAGACTTACTCGGGCCTAACTTCTTAATTATCTCACAGTACCTCCAGTCTGGTCTCGCCTTCTACTTTCTCACTTCCTGTGGTAACTTTTATACATTTTTTCACGTTTGTTTTTACTCTAGCGCTCGTTGCCTTCTAAGATGGCTTTTTGTTTTGTACTTGCGATAAAAACTTAACTCAGGAACAAAAATAATAAAAAACAAACAAATAAAAAAATAAAAATGAGAAAAGCAAAAGATGTGAGTAAAGAGAAAAAGAAAATGAACAAGAAAAGGCAATCAGTGGATCCAGGGAAAAGCCGAATCAGCAGAAAGAGCAGAACAAAGCTAACGCAGGTGTTTGCTAACTATCAAAATTTAGTGCCATCTGCTTCGGGGGCGGGCGTCTGACCTATGAGAACCCACCCAATTGGCCAAATGGGTGAAGGGCTGTATTTGATTTGTTAAAAAACAAATCAAAACGATCCATTTGATTGACAGAATGCATCATGTGTAGCAAACATTTGAGCTGACCATTCATTGCGATATTAATCTGTTCTTTGCAAAATGCATATTGTGCATGCTGATTTCACGATAACGGTATATTTACGATATATTGTGCAGCCCTACATTTAACTCATTCACTGCCAGCCGTTTCCTGATCACCAACGGCCTTCACTGCCAGCGTTTCTCACCGTTTTTACTGTTTTTCTTTAAGAGTCACAGAACGTTGCGCGCTAGCATGATGTCGACGCCAAAACAACCAAAACAAAGAGGAGACTCACCTCTTACATCAGGAAGAGTCAGCATGTTTCGAGTGTTATCCGTTCCTTCATAATCCGTTGTCGAATTGTGATCGGCAGACGCTTTTCCGGTTCGCGCCTCACTTTTTTTTTTTTTACAAGAACGGCCCAAAACGATCTCCAAACACATGGATGTGTTGCTTCCTGATCATGTGATCTGAGACGTATCCGGATGAAGATCGGCTTCAGGGCTGAGATGTTTGTTCCCTCAGTGCGGGGGCTCGTTCCGATGCTCAAGCAGTGAATGAGTTAATGAATTTGTAATGGGAAACAGTTTTTTTCTGGTCTTTATATCATGTAGTGGGCCATTCCCATCTGTACCGGGTCGGCCCGGGCCGGGTAGCCCCAGTCGGCTCCAGCCTGGCCCGGTTGATTCCACACATCCTTGTCTTAAGCCCATGTGGGCTGATTCTACCCACCAATCAGAGGCTTGCTCTAATGGAAATGGTAAATGGTAATTAAATGGCCTGTATTTGATATAGCGCCTTCTGGAGTCCTGGAACCCCCCAAGGCGCTTTACAACACAATCAGTCATTCACCCATTCACACACACATTCACACACTGGTGGGGATGAGCTACGATGTAGCCACAGCTGCCCTGGGGCGCACTGACAGAGGCGAGGCTGCCGAGCACTGGCGCCACCGGTCCCTCCGACCACCACCAGCAGGCAACGTGGGTTAAGTGTCTTGCCCAAGGGCACAACGACAGCGACAGACTGAGCGGGTCTCGAACCTGCGACCTTCCGATTGCTAGGCGAGCACTTAACTCCTGTGCCACCGTCGCCCCAATGGAAGGAGTGAATTTGCTGTCAGGAGTGGGTGTGTTGGCCCTGGTCGGCCTGAAGCAGACCCCCTCGAGAAGAGGGCTGAGAATGAGCCTTGGTTGGCCCGGAAAAATACCAGGCCACCCAGATATGTAAACAACCTACGCTACCCGGCCCGGGCCGACCCGGTACAGATGGGAATGGGGCTTAAACAACCTACGCTACCCGGCCCGGACCAACCCGGTACAGATGGGAATGGGGCTTAAACAACCTACGCTACCCGGCCCGGGCCGACCCGGTACAGGTGGGAATGGGGCTTAAACAACCTACGCTACCCGGCCCGGGCCGACCCGGTACAGGTGGGAATGGGGCTTAAACAACCTACGCTACCCGGCCCGGGCCGACCCGGTACAGGTGGGAATGGGGCTTAAACAACCTACGCTACCCGGCCCGGGCCGACCCGGTACAGATGGGAATGGCCCATTAGAAGTCGAGTTACTCCCCAAACCACCTGACCTTTAACTATTTTTAGTTTCTCTAATTTAGAAAACTCTTGAATCAGGGAATAACTATCCCACATGGTAAAAAGCTCCAAAAAGTGGATTTCCTGTGATATGGCTCCTTTTAAGACATTATCTGTCCATTTTTGCTGTATTTAATAATAATCGGCATGTGTTTGTTAAAGATTCGAGACAGGAGTGCCTTTTCTTGGCGTATCTTTGCTTTGGAGCCTAAAAGTCGTGGCATATACAGATTTGTCTTGACATCTTCAAATGATCTGTTGTGATCTTCAACTGCACTAAAAGCATGAGTTAGTTTGGGCGTGTTTATAATATTTAGCCGTTCTGTTGGTTTATTTTTGTAACAAAATGATCAGTCCTAGTTGAAGCCCGTAGGCAGTAATCTCCAGTGTTCTGATATCCGTGTTTCACACGCCGGAGTAGAGAAGCCAGTGACAGCTGCTGCCTCTGCTCTGAGCCTCAGCAGGGAGCAGGCAGCGTTCCTCCACCACCAAACACACTCTCCAGGCTTTGGTCCAGCTCCGTAGCCTCCCTCCTTCCCTCAGCAGCTGCTCATCCTGCTTTCATTGTCTTTCTTTTCCGTGGGAATAAACGGGAATGGATGGAAGGTGTCCACTCAGTCTTATTGTAATCACAAGTGCACAGTAAAGATATAAATAATGTAAACAATCTATCCGTGGGTTTACAGGCAGGATTGTAGATGCACCCAGAATCAGAACAGATTTTATTCAATAAAAAAGGCTTGGAAAGATGATCCTCCAACCCTATATCGATTCCGATCTATTTCCAGATGGAACACGTAATCCCTTCTGCGTGTTACGGAGTCTCCCCTCACTCATTTCTGCCAAAAGATGCTTCCATGGAGAACGACAGGTCCAAAAAACCCCGTCTGATTCCTTTCATAAAGCAGCTGCAGAGCTTCATCTGTGCTGGATCGTTGGACTTCTTTTTTCCAAAATCCCAGGAATGCATAACTTCCTCTCAGATGTTCAGGTTTAGATGTCCACCTGCTAAAATAATATCAATGATGAGGTAACACCGGGTCAAAGGGATGTTTTTAGTTTCTTCCTCTTGAAGATAACCGTCCCTTTTAAAAATGTATGATGAACTCCAGTTTTGATTCTGCATCACAAAAATTCCAGTTTCCCCTCCAGATTCCACTCCCTCCTCTCCTGCATTCTTCTGTCTTTTTAATTATTCATCTATCACCACATCTCTTCCATCTTCCCCGTGTCGACACCCCTCCGGCTTTTAATGATGATGAAAATGCTCACCTGCTGTGTGAGTTTCTCAGGCGTATGCAGCAGTGCTGCTCTTTACCCACTTTACCGTACCTATGTTTCACACTGAAAGGAGCGCGCGTAATCCAGGGGGCAGAAAAGCACGGAGCAGCAGGAAGCTGAAGCGGAGAGAACAAACATGCCACGAATAAGGCTGAGGGTCGATGAGAATGACGGATGGGGGAGAAAGTTGGTGCTTAGTCAGCAGCACAGCTTCCAGGAGGGGAGTGCCATTAGCTTCCTTCAGCTGGGGTCGCAAAAACAGTAAAAAGATTCCAGACATTGGGGTTGCTTGTTTAAGGCGGGGATCGTTCCGTTGGTGTAAA